CGTCTCCCGGCCCTCCCTGCTGGCCGACTCCAAGTAAGCCCCTTGGAGCTGGAGGGGGGAGACGGGGGCTCCTCCCCAGCTGCCCTGCCTGCTTCCCCTATGCTGATGGCCTCCCGCCCTTCCTCCTCCTCCCAGGGACGTGATGGACAGCACCACCACCCAGAAGTACTGGATCGACATCCAGCTGCGTTGGGGAGACTATGACTCGCACGACATCGAGCGTTACGCCCGGGCAAAGTTCCTGGACTACACGACAGACAACATGAGCATCTACCCCTCCCCCACCGGGGTCCTCATTGCCATTGACCTGGCCTACAACCTGCACAGGTGAGGAGGGGGGCAGGGATCCGGCAGACCTCGTGGATTGGCCAGAGTGGCTGCAGGACGTGGTCCTTTGGGCCTCATTTGGAAGAGGCAGGTACCGTGTGTGTGTGTCCCCGGCCCTCAGGGACTCATTCTGTTCCCCACCCTCCTCAGTGCCTACGGAAACTGGTTCCCCGGAAGCAAGCCCCTGATCCAGCAGGCCATGGCCAAGATCATGAAGGCCAACCCAGCCCTGTATGTGCTGAGGGAACGGATTCGCAAGGGGCTGCAGCTGTACTCCTCGGAGCCCACCGAGCCCTACCTGTCCTCCCAGAACTACGGGGAGCTCTTCTCCAACCAGATCATCTGGTTTGTGGACGACACCAACGTCTACAGGGTCACCATCCACAAGGTGAGGGCGAGGGGGGTCTGGGCTCCCCCCTCCCTGGCATGTGGAGGGCGGGGGGGGGTGGGCACCTTCTGACCAGCAGCTGCTCCCTTTAGACCTTTGAAGGAAACTTGACCACCAAGCCGATCAACGGGGCCATCTTCATCTTCAACCCTCGGACTGGACAGCTCTTCTTGAAGATCATCCACACTTCTGTTTGGGCTGGGCAGAAGCGCTTGGGCCAGGTGAGGTCTTGGCCCCTGTTCTCTTGGGGGGGGGAGGGAGGGAAGCCTTCTGGGCCTCGCTCATTCTGCTCGCTGCCCCCCTTGCCAGCTGGCCAAGTGGAAGACGGCAGAGGAGGTGGCAGCCCTGATCCGATCCCTGCCTGTGGAGGAGCAGCCCAAGCAGATAATCGTCACCCGGAAGGGCATGTTGGACCCTTTGGAGGTAGGCTGAGGGAGAAGGGGAGCCCCTGGGGGGCTGAGCTGCCATATTGGGGGGATGGGAGGGAGGTGGCACCACCTCCTCCTCCTCCTGCAGTTGGATCGGTGGCCATAGCCTGGAGCTCTGGACAATGAGTCCTAATCCTCACCCTCCCCTGTGTGGCCTTTTCTCCCCCGACAGGTGCACTTGCTGGACTTCCCCAACATCGTGATCAAGGGCTCAGAGCTGCAGCTGCCATTCCAGGCCTGCCTGAAGGTGGAGAAGTTTGGGGACCTCATCCTGAAGGCGACAGAACCCCAGATGGTCCTCTTCAACCTTTACGATGACTGGCTGAAGACCATCTCTTCCTACACGGTGAGCCTCCTGGCCGTTCCCACACGGGCCACGCTCGGAGGGCCTGCTGGAGATCAGCCGGCCTCTGCCCCCCTGGTGCGGGTGGGATGCCAATTGTGTTTCTCCCCCCCTCCCTCCCCCAGGCCTTTTCCCGCCTGATCCTCATCCTGCGAGCGCTGCATGTGAACAACGATCGGGCCAAAGTCATCTTGAAGCCGGACAAGACCACCATCACAGAGCCTCACCACATCTGGCCCACCTTGACTGACGAGGAGTGGATCAAAGTGGAGGTGCAGCTGAAGGACCTGATCTTGGCCGACTACGGCAAGAAGAACAAGTAGGTGGCCGCGTGGCTCTCTCGGCCTCCCCTCGTGGCACGGAGGAGGGTCCTGCCCTGCCTGCCAGGCAGCTTGAGGCCGGGGGGATCTCCGCCAGCACCCCAAAGCCCTTACAAGGGGGGGGTGCCCCGAAGGCTCTGGTCGGCCAGCCCTGACCTTCTCCTGCTTGCTCTTTGCCAGCGTGAACGTGGCTTCCTTGACCCAGTCAGAGATCCGGGACATCATTCTGGGCATGGAGATCTCGGCCCCCTCCCAGCAGCGGCAGCAGATCGCGGAGATCGAGAAGCAGACCAAGGAGCAGAGCCAGCTGACGGCCACCCAGACGCGGACGGTCAACAAGCACGGCGACGAGATCATCACCTCCACCACCAGCAACTACGAGACCCAGACCTTCTCCTCCAAGACCGAGTGGCGGGTCAGGTGGGCAGCGGAAGCCCAGAAGGAGGGAGGGAGGGCTGCCCCCCGCCCTCCTCAGGCGCCGCTTGGTGCAGGCGGTCACCCCCTTTGCTTCCTCCCCCCAGGGCCATCTCCGCGGCCAACCTGCACCTGCGCACCAACCACATCTACGTTTCCTCGGACGATATCAAGGAGACCGGCTACACCTACATCCTGCCCAAGAACGTCCTGAAGAAGTTCATCTGCATCTCCGACTTGCGAGCTCAGGTGCCCCCCCCCGCCCTCCCCCACCAGGCCTCCTTGACCCCTCCCCTGGGACACCCAGGGGCTCTCTCCCCTCTTGCTGCCTTGGTTTACCCACCAGGGATCAGTTTTAGCTCGAGAGTCTCGCTCGCTCGTCTCTTCTCTGCTGCATCGGGTTCTCGACTTGAGCGGGTCCTTGAAAAGGGGGGGGGGACAAAGCCAAAACGGCCACTGGCCTTTGCCAGAGCCTCTTTGACCGATCTGTGCCTGAGGGTGCCACAAAGAGCGCCTGCACTCTCTGCAGGCACCAGCCCAGACACTTGTCCCTTCACACATCCCAGGAGTTCAGCCGAGTTCCTGGCCTGCCTCCCTCTCCCTCCCTCTTTGCCAGGACCCTCGGCTGAAAGTGGCCAGGTGACCTGGCCTCTCTGTCCCCACAGATTGCAGGGTACCTCTATGGGGTGAGTCCCCCAGACAACCCCCAGGTGAAGGAGATCCGATGTATTGTGATGGTGCCTCAGTGGGGAACCCACCAGACGGTCCACTTGCCTGGCCAGCTGCCCCAGCATGAGTACCTCAAGGTAAGCAACCTCTTTGGGGTGCCCCAGGTGTGTGTGGGGGGGGGGGTCGCAGGGGTCTTTTGTTTCTCCAGAGGAGGCAGTTGGGCGCTTCCATCTTGCTGCAAGTGCCCCGTGGGGGGAGGGGAGCAGGGAGCAGGGCCTCCGTGCTCTTCACCCTGCTTGACCCGCGGCTTCTCCCCCAAACACAGGAAATGGAGCCCCTGGGGTGGATTCACACCCAGCCCAACGAGTCTCCCCAGCTCTCCCCACAGGACGTCACCACCCACGCCAAAGTCATGGCCGAGAACCCCTCCTGGGACGGGGAGAAGACCATCATCATCACCTGCAGGTGAGTCCGGGCGCTCGCTCGTCTCCTGGGGGGGCAGGAGAGTAGCCCCAGAGGCAATCGCCCCCCCCCTTTGTTGACTGGCTCCTCCTCCCGCAGCTTCACTCCGGGCTCCTGCACCCTGACGGCCTACAAGCTGACCCCCAGCGGCTACGAGTGGGGCCGGCAGAACACGGACAAGGGCAACAACCCCAAGGGCTACCTGCCCTCCCACTACGAGCGGGTGCAGATGCTGCTCTCGGACCGCTTCCTGGGCTTCTTCATGGTGCCGGCCCAGGCCTCCTGGAACTACAACTTCATGGGTGAGTGGAAAGACGGTGTGTGTGTGTGTGTGTGTGTGTGTGTGTGTGTGTGTGTCCAGAGCCTGCCCCCCGCGGGTCCTGGGTGTCGCAACCTGCCTGGTGGGGGGCAAGGACTGGCAGGAGCGGCATAAGGAGCAGCAGGGGCGCTGCCTCCGTTGGCCCCCCTGCTCACGAGGTGGGAGGGCGTGTGGGGCTGCCCCTTGAGGGAGTCCCTGGCCGTTCAGGCTCTGGAGCAGGATCCTCCTTCCTTGCAGGCGTCCGGCACGACCCCAACATGAAGTATGAGCTGCAGTTGGCGAACCCGAAGGAGTTTTACCACGAGGTCCATCGCCCCTCCCACTTCCTCAACTTTGCCCTCCTGCAGGAGGGGGAGGTCTACTCAGCGGACCGGGAGGACCTCTACTCCTAGCCTGGCCCCCCCACCTCCTGCTGACCCCCCTCCCCGCCCGATCTCGTTGGGCTCCTGCGAAGTGTTTCTGTTTAGTGTCAGTGTCCAAGTGGCGTTTCAGTTGTTTAATAAAATTTTGTATACTGTAAAGGTGTGTCTTTTGTGGAACCTCTCTGCTGCTCACCCCCCCCCCACAACACTCAGCTCAGTTTTGAGGGAGGGTAAAAAAGGGGCAATAGAAGGGGACAACAGAATGAGATGGCTGGATGGAGTCCCTGAAGCAGTAGGTGAGAACTTAAATGGACTCCAGAAGATGGCAGAGGACAGGAAGACCTGGAGGAACGTTGTCCATGGGGTCGCGATGGGTCGGACACGACTTCGCAATTAACAACAACAAGAAAAGGGGAGGAGCAACCAGAGTGGGATTCTCGGTCCTTGAAGGGGCTGTGAGTCCAGACCGGCCCTTCCTTCTTTCCCACCCTGAGGCTGGCAGTCTCGGGAAAGATTTCCCGCTCGCACGGGCAAGGACTGGAGCCCTTTCCCATTGCTGGGGAGTGTCTGGGCTGGAGCCCCTCCTTGGAGGGAAACGCCACTTTTGCTTTCCTTCGAAAGTGAAAGCGGTGACGCACACAACACACCCTTTCCGAGCACTTGCTCTGCGCGGGGATTCTGGCTCTGTCTCCAGCCACTGGAAGACTCCGGCGGCGACTTCACCGCCCCCACCTCCGCGGGTTCGGTTCCGATACGCCCCCCGCCCCCAGCAGCACGGCTGGGCCAGCGGCAGGCCGAGTCCCGCCAGGGGCGCCTTCCCTCCGGCCGCGAGCCGGGCGGGGCGAGCCAGGCGGAAGGCGGAGCGGCGCCTCCTCTTCGCCCGCCGGAGCGTAGTCGCCGTTGGGGCGCGAGCGGGGGCAGCGCCGCCGCCGTCGCCTGTCTGGGGCCGGAGCGCGGTGCCCGGCTGGATGGAGGCGGCCTACGTGTACCGCCTGGCGGGCGCGCTGGGTTCGGAGCTGCAGCGGCTCTCGGACCGCTTCGGGACGGCCTCCCTGACCGGGCTGGTCCCGCAAGTGGTGCGCCTCCTGGAGCTGCTGGAGACGCTGGCCGCGGACGGGTCGCCCCCGGGATCGCTGCTGGGAGCGTTGTCGGACGAGGGATCTCCCGGCGCCGCGGCCGAGCGCTCGCTGCAGGTGCGGAGGCCCGCGCGCTCCCCCGGCCGAGCGGTCTCCTGCGTTTTCCCGCTGCTGGCCTGGGCGCGCGGCCTGCCCTGCTCTGTCGCGGGTCAGGAGCGCCTCCTCCTCCTCCGGTGGCGACTTGCGCGGAGGGGGGGCGTGGCGGGATAGTGGGGGGCGGGCGAGGGGACCCCTCCGAGGCTGCGCCAGCTCCCCGGGCCGCCGGTTCCCCTCGCGCCGGGCCAGCACCGGGCAGCCTCCCCTGCGCCGCCGGTCCCGGAGCGCTTGGCGCAGATCGAAGCGGGCGGTGCGCTTCTTCCCCTGGCAGGTGGCGGAGGAGCGGCTAGCGGAGGCCCAGGAGCGGGAGCGGCGCCTCCAGAGCCGGCTGACCCAGCTGGAAGAGGAGCAGCAGCGAGCCCTGAGCCGCCTGGCCCGGGTCCAAGCCCAGGAAGGTGAGGCCGGGCCGAGCCAGGAGGGACTTTTCTCGGCGGGGGAGAGGGGGGGCAAAGTCTTGGCCGTTTCCTTGGGCCACGGAGGAGGACGGAGCCGAGAGCCCCTCCCTGCACCCACCTGCTGCTTCCACCTCGCTGGAGTTTGGGGCTGCGGCAACTGCAGCAGCCGTTTGGCTGACTTCCTTGTTTTGGTGCTGTGAAGTGCGGGCTGGCCCCATCGGCCTCCCACCAATGGTGGCCCCGAACGGAGCGGGGGGGGGGCTGCCTTGCTACAGACCACGCTTAGTTTGGAAGGGGGTAGTGAGCCATTCCACCCCGTGGGTGTGTTTGTGATGCAGAGAGAGCAGTTGCATCTGCACAACAGGCTTCTCTGTGGCAGGGTGTGCTGTGCAAATCCAGCCTGGTTGCTTAAGTCATTAGCCCAGGCGTGTCCTGCCTGGGGAGGGCGGCAGCTGCCTGGATGGACCAGGAAACGGTCCAGAATCAAGCTGGGCTGGAGAGAAGGAGAGGGAGACATCCATCGCGGGGAAAGTCCCCGGTTATGCATCATGAGTTGCAGATCGGCCAGTAATGAAATCTGGGCCTCCAGAGGAGAAAGGCAGGTGTGACCTTTGGTAGGCGCCCATCACACCTGCTGGCGCTGCCTTAGAGGATGCCCCTCCCTGGGAGGGAGGAGAGGCCTCCTCCTCCTCCCTTGGCGTCTCTTGGCAGCAGAGAGTGCTGCAAGCTGACTCCTTCCTGAGGGAGGGGGTTAAACTTGCCCTCGCAAGTTCTATGGCTGAAGCTCAGAGACTGTAATGTGGTTTGCATGTTTTGGGTTTAGCAGGATATGTGAATTCCACCTAAAAGTTTCCCGCTTAGCTTTTTGTGCAGACCTAGTCAGTTGTGTTTATTTAACAAACTGTGGTTTGCCACTGACGGGACTTTGGTGAGAGAGAGAGATGCTTCCTTCTTTTCCATCCGGTGTCTTGCCATCTTTTGTCTTCCGTCTTCTGTCTAATTGGTTTTATCACAATTTCCCTGCTTGGGTTGCTGTGAGCTATGCAGCGTCATTGGGAGCTTACACGTTCGAACAACAAAAATAAATAAATAAATAAATGCACCCTAGGAATGGTGCAAGGTAATAATTCTTGATTGGAAAAGTAGCTGAAGCGCTGAGGTGACGAGTGGGGTGGGGTCCCTGGCATCCTCTCTCAGAGCCCCCTTGTGCCAGAGGAACAGGAGATGCTGCCAGGGTACCCGATGTCCGTGGGCAGAGGGGGCACATCCTGCCTGCTGCAGCTGTGGGGGGAGGCAAGGTGGTCCTCACTTCAATCCTTCAAGGGCTCCCTTTGCTGGTGACTTTCTGCGTGCCTGGCGGCTTCTCCTGCCCTTGGGTGCTGCCAAGGGGAATCAGCCTCGCAAGGTTCCTTTGGGTGAAAGCTCAGGTGAGCGATGGCAAAGCCGAAGGGATCCCACGAAGCCGCTCTCTGTCCTGCCTCAGAGGGCCCTGGCCGCAGAGAGCGGGAGTTGATGCTGCAGCTGAAGGAGGTGGTGGACCATCAGAGGGACAAGATCCGCGCCCAGGACCACGAGATCCAGCGCAAGGCCCGGGACACGGAGGCGGTGAGTGTCCCGGGCCTTGGATGGAGGGGAAGCCAAAGGGTGGGGGCTCCTACTCCCCCAGTCACTGAGTGTGGTTGTGGGTCTGTCCCCGCAGCTGCAGGAGCAGCTCAACCGCTTCATGACCGTGAACGAGAACCTGCGCCGGAAGGTGGCCGTGGTGCAGGCCCAGCTCAGGAGCGCCCTGGAGAGGAAGGGGGAGGCGGAGGCCCTCTGGGAAATGGAGAGGCGTGGCAGGGCGGCTTGGCCCGCCAGGACCAGCACCCCCACGGTGGGTGAGAGGGACAGGGCAAGTGCCTGGAGGGAGGGCAAAGGGGGCTCAGGGCCCGTGCAACACAGAGGAGCCCGGGCCCCCCTCCACCCGGCTGAACAAGAGGCAACTACAGTGGCTGCTGCCAGCCTTGCGAGGTAGACCAGATTAGAAACTGACTCCATAGGAAGACCCCAGGGAGTTGGGGAGAGCCAGTCTGAGCGTTTTATTAACCATTTTATTCATGACTTTCGGTGTGACTCCAGGCTGACCTGGGTGGCTCACGGTGCAAGGCAATCTAAACGTCCCCCATCTTTCCTTAGGAACAGGAGGAGGGGGATGTAGGAGGGGCTGCAGGCCCCCCCGAACACCCCCCTGACCAGCGCACCTTCTCAAAGGAAGAGCTGCAGCAGATCCTGCAAGAACGCAACGAGCTCAAGACCAGCCTTTTCCTGGTGGAGGAGGAGTTGGCCTATTACCAAAGGTCAGTCGGTCTCCCCGGGTTCTTTGAGGCGGGGGGGGAGGAGGGGGAGCGTCTCTCCTGATGGACCCCCTGCAGCCCCACAACTGCCTTTGCTCCACGAGAGCCAGACTGCTTCAGATTCTGGCAGGGGGGCCCAAGTGGTCTTCTGACAGGGAGCAGCTGCTCTATGGGGGGGGGGGTGTCCAAGCCCAGAACAGCCTCTTCTTCGATGCCTCCTGCCAAGAGTTGGCTTGTTCCCCTGTCAGACAGCTTTTGGCTATCCAGAGTCGCGTGTTGGGATGGGGTGGGGGGCTATTGAAATCAAAGAAATAAATAACTTCCTCTTAAGACAAAATTTGTAATCCTTAGTCTTATTCTGCAGTGCTGCTGTAACCCTCTTTTACTTTTCACACCTTTGAAAAGCAGAGGCTTTCCCCCTTCCTTCAGAAGACTGAGCCCCCGGCCCACCCAGTGGAAGGGGATGGTCCCTTAAGGCCCTCCAGTGCAGGAATCCTCCAGTGCCCCCCCCCCAGGGGATGCCTCTGCTTAAACACCTCTGCCCCCCCCCAGGCCCCAGCCCTCAAGCCAGTTAGAGCGCTTTGTGTTCAAGAAACGCTTCCTGTCAAAATCCTCCTGATTCCAACCCTGTTTCTCTCCTTCTGGGTCAGCTTGGAAATTTTCACTTGATCGCTTGGTGGCCCTTTGGGGCTTGAAGGTGGCTGCCCCATCTCCTTGTGGCTCTCTCTTCTTCAGGAAGCTCCAGCTTGCCAGGCTCCTTCCAAGAGAGGCAGGGCCCCTTTGCTCCTTCCCGAGGGCTCACCTGGAGATAGGCAAACAGAATAACAGAGATGAAAGGGACCTTGGGGGTCTTCTAGTCCAACCCCCTGCTCAGGCAGGAAAAACTATGCCATTTCAGACAAATGGTTGTCCAGTCTCTTCTTAAAAACTTACAGTGTTGGAGCATTCACAACTTCTGGAGGCAAGTAGTTCCACTGGCTAATTGTTCTAACTGTCAGGAAATTTCTCGTTAGTTCTAGGTTGCTTCTCTCCTTGATCAGTTTCTATCCATTGTTTCTTGTCCTGCCTTCTGGTGCTTTGGAGAATAGGTTGACCCCCCCCTCTTCTTTGTGGCATCCTCTTTGATATTGGAAGACTGATATCATGTCACCCCAAAAAACCATGTTTGCTTTAAACTAGAGGAAACAGTGAAAGAAGCTGGTCCTCTAGGCCAGGGCTTTTCAACCAGTGGTACGGGTACCACCTGTGGTACATTGGCACCTGGCAGGTGGTACGCAATCATCCTAGAAAAGTGGTAGTGGGGAGGGGAATGAGCTGAGCCGGTGGCAGCACCCCACAAGCCTGAGCGAGAGACGGCTGGAGCTGCAGGGCTGTCAGGGCTCAGCGGAAGCGCCAGGATCAGTGCCGCTTTCCAGCTGATTGGTGCTTCTTCGGGGCTGTCAGGGCTCAGCGGAAGCACCAGGATCAGCGTCAGGCTCCAGCTGGAGCTCAGCGCTGATCCTGGCACTTCTGCTGAGCCCAGAAGAAGCACCGATCAGCTGGAATGTTACAGCTTCTCCAGGGTCTTGTGATTTACATTCAGATGCTTGGCAACCGATTCATATTTATGACAGTCACAGTGTCCTAGGATCATGGGAAGTGACCAAAACCTGCTGCAACCACCCAGCAGACGGGGGGAATAAAAACCAAACACCCCCCACCCCATCCCTGCTGCTAATCCCCAACAGAAATGTTCACAACAATGAAAACCTCGGACAGGAGGAAGAGCACCGCTGGGTGGGCAGGCAGGTGTCTTGCTCGGCTGTGGCTGGGGGAGCACTTTTTTCAGGGCCATTGTAACTTCGAACAATCACTAAGCGAACTATTGTAAGTCGAGGACTACCTGCACTTCATCACTTTTTTTCCTTTTTTTTTTTTTTGGGCCATCAAGTTTTTGAGACCTTGCTAGGCGACTGGTGGTCCTCGGATGTTGCCCTATCCTAAAAGTGGTACAATGGGTGAAAAGGTTGAAAAGCCCTGCTCTAGGCTAGGGAAAAGGAGAGAATTAACATAGTTCTCCTGAGCCTCTAATAAAAGAAGCTTTTTAAAAGCTCAGGAAACAAGCAAATATGTTTGCTTCAGGAATCTGATTATCCTTTAAAAATGGGGTTAAAATGTTTAGCCAGAAAACTGCATTTGAATTTTGAACATTGACGTATGTTAAGTCTTGTATGTCTCTACAAGTAGAAAATTCTGTGTGATCAACTTTTTAAAAAATTCCTAACATTTTGCATTCCGGAAAACTACTTTTCACTAACTTCTTTTGAGCTAAAATATAATTTACAAGCAGTTTCATTTCTGAGCTCACTAATTGGATCATAAATGCATCTTTTTTTTAACATCATGTAGAAACATTGTTTTATTATGGATGGGTTACCCTGATCCTAACTCTTTTCTTCCAAATGGGAATGTTTACATTTTAATACCTAAACATAAAAAGAGATATTGCATTTTCTTTTTTAAAAAAGTAAAGTTTGATTTTATTTATTGGTGGAGAGATTTGTCTCTCAAGGAGTTAGGAGAACAGCAGAAACCTCTAATTGCATGATTTTATGCTCTGCAGTCAAGAGGTTGCATTGTATAAATTATTGTCGGCTGCGCAGTCAGCCACTGGATTTGGCATTTTTATCCACCTATCAAGTCCTTCCCAAGCACCTGGGATGGGCAGATGTGGTGGCCTTAAGGGTCTCGTCGCAGGACGTGAGCTGTTCCAAGTAAAGCTGCCTTTTGCAATTGACTGGTGGTGAATCTGTCGATGCCAGTGGTGCTCAAGTAGTGCTTCAGTTGTTTTGGGATTGCACCCAAGGTGCCTATCACCACTGGTGCTACCTTTGCTTTCTTTTGCCACAGTCGTTTTATTTCTGTTTGCAGGTCTTTGCATTTTGTTATCTTCTCCAGCTCTTCTTCTCTTCTGCTGTCTCCAGGTACTGTCGCGTCCACTATTCAAACTTTTTTGTTTTACTTACCGACAATTGTTAACTCCGGGTTCTTGTGTGGCAGGAGCCTGTCTGTTTGAATTCTAAAGTCCCAGAGCAATTTAGCTTCTTTAATTTCTATGACTGTCTCTATTTTGTGGTCCCACCAGTTCTTGCTTGCAAGCACATGGTGCTTCTTGCAGATCTTCCAATGCACTATTATTGCTACTTTGTCATGCCGCTGCTTGTAGTCTGTGCGATCTCCTTGCAGCAGTTTGCCAGGTGGTCGGCTGTTTCTTCGGCTTCTTTGCAGAGGCGGCGCTTGCTGTCTGTCGCTGTCTGTTGATGGCATGAGAAATGAACCAAGAGGCTACACCAGATCCGGAGGCAGGACCAGCCAGGTGTGTGTGTAGACCCAGAGGCTCCTGAGGGAGGGAGCTTGTGCCAAATCTTTGGGGTAAGCCTGGCTAGGAAACAAACTTCCCAGGCAGTCTCTAGCTCTACTTCACAGAGACTAGACCATAATAATAACAACAAGTTTTTACAAGCCTGGTTTGGCTTAACCACCGCTCCTTCTTACGTCTCAGAAAGACGTTTGCCTAGGTTGCTTCGAATGCCATCTTGCTTTCCAGGACTTAAGGAATAATTTCAGCTATATGCTTATTATTCAGTTTATATAGCCATCCATCTGAAATAGTCATCCAGAGTTGCCTTACTGGTGAGATGGCGGGGGCATATAAATTTAATAAATAAATGTAAAAATTGCTCACTGCAATTAAAATATAAAAAAAACAAAATCTATACTACTCCCATTGTATAAAAACAATATAAAAAAACCCCATCTGACATTGTCCATAACCAGAGTGCAGCAATAACAACAACAACAATAATAATAAGTTGGAAGGTACCTTGGAGGTCATCTAGTCCAACCCCTGCTTAGGCAGGAAACCCTATACCATTTCAGATAAATGGCTGCCAATCTCTTCTTAAAACTTCCAGTATTGGAGCATTCACAACTTCTGGAGGCAGGTTGTTCCACTAATTAATTGTTCTAACTATCAGGAAATTTCTCCTTAGTTGAGTTTCCATCCGTTGCTTCTGACCTGCCTTCAGGTGCTTTGGAGAATAGCTTGATTCCCTCTTCTTTGGGGCAGCCCCTCAGATATTGGAAGACTGCTATCATGTTACCCCTCATCCTTATCTTCATTAAACTAGACATACTCAGTTCCAGCAACCGTTCCTTATATGTTTTAGCCTCCAGTCCCCTAATCATTTTGTTGCTCTTCTCTGTACTCTTTCTAGAGTCTCAACATCTTTTTTACATCATGGTGACCAAAACTGGATGCCATATTCCAAGTGTGGCCTTACCAAGGCATTGTAAAGTGGTATTAATACTTCACGTGATCTTGATTCTATCCCTCTGTTAATGAAGCCCAGCATTGTGTTGACTTTTTTGGCAGTTGCAGCACACTGCTGGCTCATATTTAGGTCATATTCCAGCCTAGGGATTCAGCCATTCAATTCATCTGACTGATTACCTGACATCACAGTTGTGTTGACTCTTGGTGATCACATGTAAGCCTTTTCTTATGGTCTGATATACAGTATATACGTTCTGATGTCAGTTATCCAGATTGTCATTTTGTTATTTCCCTTATTGTGTTTGTATTTATCTTACTGCATTTATACTTTGTTTTTTTATATCATGAGTCGCCGGGGTCACCGTGGAGTTGGGAAGTGCCGAAATCTAAATAAATAAATGTCAATAAATCTGCCCTCAGCCCTTTGGACCTTCCAGTGGTCCCTGATTGCCCCTGTAGTTGAGTCCATCCAGTTTGCTGGAGGATTTAAGGAGAAGACTGGACAGCCACTTGTCTGAAATGGTCAATGGTTTCCTGCTTGATCAGGGGTTGGACTAGAAGACCTTCAAGGTCCCTTCCAACTCTGTGATTCTGCTACACTGCTACTGTTTGTTGTCTTTTTCCACCCACCTTCCCAAAATGTGGTGTCCAGATCTGGATGGAGCATTCTTAGTACAAGCTGACCAGTGGAGAACAGAGAGGAGAGCACTGGTGTCTTTTGCAGCTGCCTCGTGGTCTTGGCTCACGTTTAGCGTGTGACCAAAACCTGAAGGCAACAATCCAGATGTGGCCCTACCAAGGCCTTGTAAAGCGGTACTAACACTTCATGTGACCTTGATTCTATCCCCCCCGTTGATGCAGCCAGGACTGCGGTGGCTTTTTTGGCTGCTGGCGCACACGACTGGCTCATATTTAAGTGATCGTCTCCACTAGGACTCCAAGATCCCTGTTGCAGTTGCTAGAGGCGGCATATATTTCCTCCCCCCCCCCAAACCACTTCTGAGACTGAGCTGCTTCTGCCCTCCAGGGAGCTGCTTAATGGGGAGCGGGTCCCTGCCCTCCTCCTGCATGCAGTGAAATCTGCCATCAAGAAACAGCGCAAGAAGATCTGGGCCAAGATGCTGGGCACCGAAGAGGAGCCAACGGGCAGGTGGGTCCCTTGGCAGTCCTTGGCCAGCTGTTTTCCCCAGGCATATCTCTCTCTCTCTCTCTCACTCTCACACACACACACACACTCATAAACTCTCACCCTCTGGCCTCACTCTGTGGTCTCCCACTAGCCACAAAGAATCTGGCAGTCCAGCTGCCCTTTGCCTGGACAGGTCAGAAGCCAAGAGGACCTGGCCTCTTGCACACCTGTTCCTGGAGCTGGGAGGGGAAAGGGTGAAGAGAGGGCATTTGGCTAGGCAGCCTGGGAAGGAAAGAATAATGGCTGCCCCTGACATATTGCCAGGCTAGGCTGGGCTGACTCACCTTATAAATCCGTCTCTTTACGATCGGCTCCAGAGTCTTGGCAGGTGGAGAGGTAAGGCTGACCACTCTGTAGCTCCCGGCATTGGCCGGAAAGTGGGGCCATGCTTCTTCTGCAGCCATGCAAGGCGGATTCTGCAAAAGAGCGCAGGAAGGCTGGAGGCAGCGAACCGGATTCCTCACATAGTTTCTCCAACTTGGTTCCGTCTTAGAAATAACCTGGTCTGGTAGCATAATTTCACGGAACGAGATGCGTGTGTCCTTCCGTTGTTTGTAAGGGCCCTTATTTCGACTCCTGTGGTTGCGGATGGGAAATAGAGGAAAACCAGCCAGTATAGGAAGAAGTTCGTTAACAAGGGTGCAAAATTAAAGGGAGAAAGATGCAAATTAGCCATTCATCCAATGGGGTGGCCCAGAGTTCTAGCAGTGGCAACACTCCAGGGAAATGGGGACTCCCCACAATTTCAGCACATGCATGCACGCATGCGCACGCACACACGCACACACAGAGCTAATTGAGGTGTCTGCAATGCCTGCTCTATTCTGCTCTGTTTCAGGGAGGAAGAGGAGGAGGAGGAGGAAGGTGAGGGGTGGCCGATAGGCTCTTCTGGCTCTGACCACACAGATGGCCGCCTGCCCCCGTCCAGGATCAAGAGCTTGTAAGTCTGGGCTGGACAGAAGTGGGGGAAGTTGGTGAGCTGGGAGGGAATCCTGCCAGGGTCCCGAGACATCTCTGGGGACCAGGAGAAGTGAGCAGACCCCCCCCCAGGCCTGGCAGGCTTCTCTGGGAGACCCTCCCTGGGAAGGTGTAGCTTTTCACTTGTGGATGAAGCAGCTTCCGGTCTCAGGGTTTCTTTCCCAGTCCAGCCTAACATCCTGGAGGCCTTGGCTGTTGTGTGTGTGTGGGGGGGGGGCTGAAGAGGTGGAGTTCAAGGTTGGCCGCCTCTCTTCAGCCAGACTCTTCGGCCTGGGGGGGGGGGTGCACGCTAGCCCTTGGTGAACTCCTGGGTTCTGCATGGCCCCAATAAATCCCGCCAGGCCCCTTTTCTCTCCTCAACTCAGGAACTCTGGACTGAGAGCAGAGGAGCCCTGGGCTCCCCCAGTGAGAGAATCAGCCTTTTGCATGCATCTGTTTATTTATATCCCACCTTTATTTTTTTATGATTAACTCAAGGTGGTGAATACTGTACTCCTTCTGCCTTTTATTCCCCCCCACAACAACCTCCCTGTGAGGCGGGCTGGACTGAGAGACAGTGATTGGCCCAAAGTCACCCAACTGGCTTTCATGCCTAAGGCGGGACTGGAACTCACCCTCTCCTGCTTTCCAGGCCAGCATCTATTTAGAATAAATTCTATTTGGAATAATAACAGAGTTGGAAGGGGCCTTGGAGGTCGTCTAGTCCAGCCCCCTGCCCAAGCAGGAGACTCTACACCATTTCTGACAGATGGAGAGTCCAGTCTCTTCTTGAAAGCCTCCAGGATGAAGCTCCCACAACATCTGGAGGCAACTCCTGTTCTCACTGTCAGGAAATTTCTCCTTACTTCCAGGTTGAATCTCTCCTCGATCAGTTTCTGTCCGTTATTCCTTGTCTGCCCTTCAGATGCTTTGGAGAATAGGTTGACCCCCTCCTCTCTGCAACAGCCCCTCAGCTATTGGAAGACTGCTATCATGTCCCCCTGGTCCTTCTCTTCATTAGACTAGCCATGCCCAGTTCCTGCAACCGTTCTTCGTATATTTTAGCCTCCAGCCCCCTGATCATCTTCATTGCTTTTCTCTGCACTCTCTCCAGAGTCTCAACATCTTTTTTTATAGTATGGAGACCAAAACTGGTTACAATATTCTAGGTGTGGTCTTACTAAGGCTTTATAGAGTAGTATTAGTACCTCACGTGATCTTGATTTAATTAATTTAGGATTGCACTGGCTTTTTTGGCTGGCACCCCACACTGTTGGCTCATATTTAATTGATTGTCTACTAAGACTCCAAGATGCCTCTCACAGTTGCTGCTATTAAGCCTGGTTTGACCCAATCCATGTGTGTGGTTTTGGTTTTTCTTGCCTAAGTGTAAGACTTTACTTTTCTCTATGTTGATAGGGCCCAACGTCCAAGTCTGTCATGATCCCTCTGGCTCTTGAGCCTGTCATCTGGGGCATTGGCTATTCCTGCCAGCTTAGTATCATCTGCAGATTTGATGATTTCCCCTCACCTAGGTTGGCTTGGGGCGCAGAGGGGCATGGGGTGCATTGACCGTATCTCTGCCCACGTGCAGCTTTTCCCACAGCCCCTGCTCCAGCGGCTCCTCGGCCGGGAACCAGAGGGGCGGAAGCGATGGCCAGAGAAATGTCCTTGCTCTCTGTTCTCAGGGGTCTCCTCTGTGTCTCTTCCCTCCCAGTTTCAGCCAATGGTATCACAGAAGCTCCCAGCCCAGCCCCACGGAAAACAGGCCTGGAACCTGGGAGATCCTCAGCGCAGAAGATGTGGGTCCGGGGGAAGAAGAGAGCGACGAAGTGCCCCCCAGTGGCTCCTCTTCCCCAGCCCCAACCTCCCCGCTTCCTTGAGCCGGGACACTCACGGCTGGACTTGCAGCGCTGCCCTTCTGGGCTCCCGGAGAGACGCTTGGGGGAAGTGCTGACCCGGTTTTGCCAGCAGCCTGGGGTCCCTGCCCTCCCAGACCCCTCACCCTCTCCCTGCCCAGAAGGCAGCAAGAGGCTGCCCTGAGGGTGCTGTGCCCAGAACCGGCTGCCTGGCCTCCGCCCGGCCCTCCCTCCACCCAGGTTGCGCCTTCTGGGAACCGCCTGGAAGAAGAGTTGTATGTTGCCCTGCGCCTGCAGTCTCCGAGGACGACCAGCAAGTGTGCAACCTTAAATTTTAACACCAAAATGATGACAATAAAACAGAAAACATGCAGTGGGCATGAAGAGCCTCCTTGGGAGGAAGCAGAAATCCGCCCCCCCCCATCTGTGACGGAAGCAGAGGGAGGGGCAGGGCAGGATGTCTTACCCCCACCAAGATGCCCCCCTGCCAGTTTCCACTCAAGCCTTTTGTGCAAATCTTAAAAGTGGATAAAGCACCCCTTCCTTCTCCTGAAGGGGGGGCAAGCTGGAAGCCTCGGAACCCCCCCCCAAGATGCAACTCCTGGTGCTCCCCTCCCTTTCCCTGACCTGAGGGGAAGCTGCAGGTCAGCCTGCTCTGGCCTCCAGGAAAGGGGAACCAGGGGTCCTCCCCTTCTGTGCCCAGGAAGGCCTCAAGAGGAAGCTGCACTGCTTGGACAGAGCTGGGGGGGGGGAGCTGGCAGAAGTCAGTCATGGGGGGGGGAGACTCCTGCTCATGGGGGAGCCTCACCACGGAAGGGGCAGCCCCTCTGGCTCCAGAGAGGGACCAGCACACAAAGTTCTTTAGCTTGGAACAAAATGAAGTTCCCTTTTGGTTGCTGACCGCTACTGCCCCTGCCCTGCACACTCGGACTCCAGCCTGTCCAAACAATCCGGGTCCAGTGGGGCCCCGGCATTCCTAGAGCCTCCGCCTCAAACCCTTTGGGGGCTGGGAAGGCTGCGGGCAGGTCAGCCTCGGGTTCTGCCAGAAATCACAGCACAAAGAGGTCCCCCTCTGGGCTAAGGCTGGGCGGTGGGGGGTCGCCTTCTGCAGGGGTCCCCGGGGAGCCTGGGAGGGGCCCGGGAGTCTGAGGCCAGAGATCCCGCCGATCCTTTCAGCCTCTGGGGCGACCGTGCTCCTCCGCCTCTCCTTCCTCCTCTGCCCGGCCGGCTTCCTCAGGAAGATCCGCAGGAAATAGGCGGGAGGCGCTGCTGCGCGGAGGGTCGCGGCCGCCCGACTTCTCCCAGCCGGGCCCCGGGACGATGGAGCGCCGCTGGGCTCTGCTGTTGCTGTGGCTCGGCCTGCCGGGTCCTGGGCGCGGCTCCCCGGAGCTGGAGCCCGGGGGAAGGCACGTGTGCCCGGCGGAAGATAGGTAGGGGGGGAGCCAGCCGGCCCCGCTTCGCCGACGGCCGCCCGTGCGCTCCGCTCTGGCCGGTCGGGGCAAGGCCGAGGGTGTCGGGGCGCCTCCGCTCCAGGGACCGGCGGGGCTTCGGGGGGGGGGCGCCTTTCGCCCTTGGCCTGCTGGCTGCGGCTGCCCGCGCCTTCCCTTTCTGCCCATTCTTTCCCAGCTCCGCTACGGTCCGCCCGAGGCTCCAGCGGACCGGCCGGGAAGGCAGCCGCTTGCCGGGGCTATTTGAGCCTCGCCCCTCCGTCCGGCCAAGAGCCCGGAGCAGCGCCGCTTCGCCTCGGAGCGCGTCGGACGGTCCTGCTCGGCCGCGTTTTTCTCCGGGAGAATTCGGAAGGGTTTTCCCGCACCTTAAGGGAGGAGGCGGGTGGCTCCGCCGAGGACGGGCCGGGCCGGGCGGGTGTCGCTGGGGGCCGGTGGCTCGGGTTGGGCTCCCGCTCTCTCCGGCTAAGAGCGCGCTTTCTCCCGCTAGTCTGCCGCCCGCCCTCGTCTGCTGCCCGGGATGGGAGCAAGTGGGGCCCGAGTGCCCCCTCGGTGAGTTGCTTTCCCCCGGGGGGCTCCTGCTCGCACACCCACCGCCCCCCCCGGTCTGGAGTTCGGGACGGCGGGGGGGGGGCAAAGGCCCGGCAGGGATCCGGGCCCGACGCGGTTGCTTCTGCCCCGGGAACGCCCCTCCGGGCCGAGAACGGTGGCCGCTGTGCTGATGCCTTGCGCCCCCTTCTGGGGGGGAAAGAGACGGTACCCTCGGACTCACCTCGCCCCTCGCTCTCCCCGCAGCCCTCTGCTTGGGCGCCGAGGCCTGCCAGGAGCGGGAGGTCTGCGTTCGCCCGTCGGTCTGCCGCTGCCGGCCGGGCTTCTTCGGGGCCAACTGTAGCGCCCGTGAGTACGGCCCAGTGGGGGAGAGCCAAAAAACCGCTCCCCCAACGCGGGTTCGGTAGGCAACCCCGGACCCTCGCCTTTTCCCTCTCTCCCGCTCTGTGTGGGGACCATCAAGAGTGGGCGGCTCATGACCCCCACCCGAACCCTGCCTTGCCCGGCCCTGATTGGGTTCACGCCCTGGCCACGGACCGGCTTCCCACCCGATCCCCTTTGCCTGCCTGGGCAGGAAAGCACTCCTAAGGTTGTCACCTGGACGGGTGCTGGGGCCCATGGCCGCTTGGCTCCTCGGAGAGACCCTGCTGCGGCCCAGGCTTACAGTGGGGGGAAGGGGCTGGTCCAGGGTTTGAGGGGTGCTGTGCTTCTCTTTCAGGGTGCCCGGAGCAGTTCTGGGGCCCAGACTGCAAGCAGAACTGCCGCTGCCATCCCCACGGCCAGTGCCATCCAGCCAGTGGAGAGTGCAGCTGCCACCCGGGCTGGTGGGGGCTGCTCTGCCAGTCGGCCTGCCTGTGTGGGAAGCGAGGCCGCTGCCACCCTGTCACAGGCACCTGCCGGTGTGATCCAGGCTGGTGGGCCCCTGACTGTCGGAGACAGTGCCAGTGCAATCTCTCAGGCTCCCACTGTGATCCGGCCACTGGCCGCTGCCTCTGTCATCGGGGCTGGTGGGGCAGGAGATGCGCCTCTCTCTGCAGCTGCCACGGATCGCCTTGTGCCCAGGAATCTGGGCGATGCGAATGCACGGAAGGGTGGTGGGGGCCGGCCTGCCAGCACCTGTGCCAGTGTGCGCACGGCCTGTGCGCACCTCAGGATGGACGCTGCACCTGTGATGCTGGCTACAGAGGCCCCAGCTGCACAGAGCCCTGCCAGGGGGGGACTTACGGACCCCAGTGTGCCCACAGGTGAGGAGCCTATGACTCAGAGGAGCCAGGTGTGTCCTTTGCCTGCCCAAAGCGGGCCGAGGGAAGAGCAGAGAAGCTGAGCGCTGGGCTGCTTGTGTGCCATCTGTGTTCTTTCTCTACTGCGCCTGCAGCTGCGGCCACTGCAGGAACCAACAGCCCTGCTCCCCCGTGGAGGGGGCCTGCCTGGCCTGTGACCCTGGCTGGAATGGGACCCACTGCCGGCAGCCGTGCTCTCTGGGGCTGTATGGAGAGAACTGCACGCAGCCGTGTCCCCGCCACTGTCGCCAGGGAGAGACTTGCCATCCACAAACAGGACGATGCCAGAACTGTGAGGCTGGATTCGTGGGGGCCAGGTGGGGCTGTGAGCCTGGGCCCTCTGCACAGGCAGCAGGGGCCTTCCTGGCTGCCAGAAATTGGGAGGGAAGCAAGTGCAGCAGGAGAAGCCTTGCAGGCTGGAGGGGGTTGCCAGTTGGAATCTATCCCCGCCCAGAGAGGGCCCTGTCCTCTCCTCACTTCTGCCCCTCAAGCCCCCCCCCATGGCTTTGTTGCAGGTGCGAGGCCCCCTGTCCCCTTAGCTTCTTTGGAGAGGCCTGCCAGTCCCCTTGCCCCGACTGCTTCCACGGGAGCTGTGATCCTGCCTCCGGGACCTGCCTCTGCCAGCCTGGCTACTGGGGCTCCAGGTAACGAGATGGGATGGTGGCAGGGATGTCCTGCTTTCCCCCCCCCCCATGCCCCATTTTCTCTCTGACTCCTTTGCAGCTGCAACCAGACCTGCCCGGAAGCCTTCCATGGCCCCAATTGCTCCGCAGCCTGTCCCTGTACAGGGGGACCGTGCCACCCCCTCACTGGGGACTGCCAGCAGGGTGAGTCTCCCTTCCCTGGGCTGGGCCTGAGGTGAACCAGAAGGCGCCCCCTGGGGAGGGGGTCTTCCTCGCTCCTCTGACTTTTACCCTCCCCTGCCAGGAGTCCAAGGCCGGGGGGCCCTCCTGGCAGGCATCCTGGGCCCCCTCCTGCTCCTGATCCTGCTGGGCTGCTGCTGCTGGTCCCACGGCCTCCATGGGGCAGCCTCGGTGGATGGGTGAGAGCCCCACACACACAGAGCCAGAAGAGCCGGGAACCTGTGCCTGGGGAATGGATCCTCTTGGCTGGGTTCGTGGTGGTAGGGGGGCTCTCTTGGGACTGGATTAATCCCCACCTCAGACAGGTTTGAACAGAACAACCGGGAACGTGGGGAAGCCTGTCTGATCTAGTCCAATATTGGGAGGGGGCCGAAAAGCTTCATTCGCGCCTCTTTGCTCAAGCTGCCCCCATGACCCCAGAGAAATGAGCCCCTGGAGGAGGCCTGGACAGGGGAAATGGGGGTCTCCCCAGTCTGAGCGCCCCCTCTTTCTTAGGGTGCCAGGGGCCGAGCGGGATCGCCTCCCTCCAGCGAAGCATCGCCTGATGGCCCTGTTGCCCAGCATCCCTTCCAGCTTTCCCTGCTTCTCACGAGGGGGCTCCAAGCTTCCACGGGTGACAGGTGAGGGGCTGCCCACAAGCACAAGCTTCTGCACGAAGGGGTCTGTATTTCTGTGCCCCCCTGCTTGCCTGCTGTCCCAGAAGCCAAGGGGGGGGGGTTGAGGGGCAGGGCCTGGGGTGGGAAGGGTGGCCCCTGATAGCCAATCCCTGCTCTGATGCTTGTCCTCTCCCAGTCACCCACCGAGACCCGGAGGCGCCCTTCAACCCCAGTTTCATTGAACCAACATCTGCTGCCTGGCCCTCGGACAGCTCCTTCTGCTCCTCCTCCTCCTCCTCCGAGGGAGTCAACAAAGAAAGGGGGGGCTGCCAAGGGCCGCAGTCTGCTCTCCCCCCCAGTGAAGGTAGGAGTGCGAGTGGGGGGGAGAGGTAGGGGATCCCCTCCCAGTGAGCCTAAATCTCGCCATCGCCACTTGTCGTCACTGTGCTAAAGGATCTCAGCGTCAAGCCAGGGAAAAGCAGCCTCTGGGCCCACAGCCACTTTGAGCAAGTCCCCGAATGTCCTGCTCTGATTTTGCTGCTGCTGATCCCTTGGGAGGGAGGGAGCTTGCAACAGAGTAACAGAGTTGGAAGGGACATTGGAGGTCTTCTAGTCCAACCCTCTGCACAAACAGAAGACCCCAGACTGCTCTGGACAAATGGCTGCCCAGTCTCTTCTTGAAAGCCTCCAGAAGTGATGGAGCACCCACAACTTCTGTAGGGAAGCCATTCCACTGGTTAATTGTTCTAACTGTCAGGAAGTTTCCCCTTAGTTCCAGGTTGCTTCTCTCCTTGATGAGTTTCCATCCGTTGCTTCTTGTCCTGCCTTCAGGGGCTTTGGGGAATAGGTGGAGCCCCCCTTCTTTAGGGCAGCCCTCCTCGTGGTGGGGGTGGTGAGGGGATGCTGTGGCCCTGCTATGGGCTTGGCTCAGGCCTGAAGGACGGGCTGCTTGTGCCTAATGCACAGAAGAGGCTCAGCTGTAGGTGTGCCATGACCTCCAGGTGTGGTGGGATGAGGCCCCCAGGCCAGCTCAGCTATGCTCCTTGCACCACCACACCTGGCTGGGGGTGCAGAGACTGTATTGCATTAGTGTCCCGCTAGAACAAACCCAGTCCAGACTTTTTTTTTTTTAAAAAAATCCCTTTTCCTGCTCTTTCAGCCTTGCCAGAGGGCAGCCTTCTCCCCGAGGCAACAACGGTGCACCCCTCACCCTTTGCCATCCCTCGCACCTCCAGCATCGCCAAGGGCAAGCGGCCCTCCGTCTCCTTTGCAGAAGGGACCCACTTTGGCCCTCAGAGCCTCAGGGCCCCCCCAGAGGCCCTCAACCCTGCCCAGAAGCCAACGGCCTCTGAAAGCTCAGTCCAAGGTGCTCCTCCTCTGCAGGGGGCCTCATGCCACTCCCTGGGCAGAAGCTGCTACGAGAACATGGCACCAACTCCCTGGGAGGACAGTGGCTGGGCCTCTGCAGGCCACCATCCCAGAGGTCACAGGAGCTGGGCTGGTGGCCCCCGGCCCCTGGCGCAGAGACCGGAGCCCCCAGAGGCAGCCGCTGTGGAAGCTTGCATCCATGAGCCCAGCATCACCACCATTTATGTGACTGTGGGCCAAGTTGGAAGGGGCAACAAAGACCCTCGGCTGGCTGTCCCGCAGCATTGGGGGAGTGGGCAGCAGGAGGCCACCTGGCCAAGGAGCCTAAAGAAGCTGCCGAGGAAGTTGGCCGCAGAGACGGGCCCTGGCATGGCTGAAGTTCAAGACCTGCTGGCTCCTGACAAGAAGGTGGAAGGTGGAGGGACCAGTAGCAGCCTGGACCCATGACTCCCCTGGAGGGCTCAGCTAGGGGAGTAAACGTGCCCTGCCTCTGGGTTTGCCCCAGGAGCCCAGCTGTGTCCAGCATCTTCCCACAAACAAGGGAGGAGCGAAGCTTCAAGGGGTCCTGCGTGGAGGAGGCCAATTCTGCCGGGCCCCAGAAGGGATTGGGCCCCTAACCTTCAATCTTTTTGGAGGCTGCCCTCACCACTGGAAACACTTGAACCCGGAGCCTGACGCCCTATGGAGCCCTTCCTTTCCCTTCTGCTCAGAAAAGAGTCTTTGGCAACAGTCTGGCATCCGGATAGATGCTTCTTTGGGCATCTCTCAGTCACTGCGTTGCACTGATCAGACAACTGGCCTGGAACTGCGGGCACCTGCCTCCCCTGCTGCCCACAGCTGGGCTCTTTTGCCCGTGGGCACCCAGCCTTGGAAGGATCTGGGGAAGGAACTGCCAGTGGTGGCCAGCAGGGGGCGGTTGCCTCTTGCTGGTCTGTGGCAGCCAACGGTGGTTTATGGTTAACTAAACCGTGGTTTATAATTTATGGCTCACTAAATGTTGGATTACTTAGTGCGGTTTTTTGGGCCCACATGATATGCTGAACCCGACTTCTGCCCAGAGCACAAACGGAAGCATTGAGATGCCGGCCTGGGACGTGCGTTTCACACCCCCTTGGCCCTTGGGGGGGGGTGGAGGGCCCCTGATTAAAAGGTCAGATCTGAGCTGTGTTCAGACTAGCCTTTGCACCCCCAGCCCACCTCCCCTCTTTGGTGGAAAAGTCCTCACTCCTCCTGGGTCTTCCGAAGGGTGCCTGATTTTGCCTCTGAATATTACAACAACATCTCAGGTCCTTCAACGCAGTTTGAATGAACACACCAGACCAATGTTGCAGTTTGTTGCCTGGCTTCACAATCACAACTATACCCCGTGCAAGGTGCCAGTGTGAAAAGTAATGCCGCTACCGTCCAACTCTCAGGAAGGGCAAAAACCTCTTCAAGAGCACAGCAGAAAATTGTGGAAGAAGTCACAAAGAGTCCCAGGACAACTTCGGGGGGGGGTCTGCAGGCCCCTCTCACCCTGGATAAAGTCACGTGTTCCATTTTTACCACCCTGATGCTCCCCTCCAGTTGGCTAAAAACACCTGGATGGCCCTCCAATCTTCCGGAGGGCGCGCGCGCGCACACACACACACACACACACACACACACACACACACACACACACACACACACACACACACCCCTGACAAAGCCCAGAGGGGAGCAGGGCTACCGGCAGGCAGGCAGGGGTGTGAGCGTTTGGGGGACTTGGCTGCCTCAGGACCCGAGCAACCTGCCCTCCTTCAGGGAAGCCCCTTTCGCCCTGTGGCGGAGGAACCCCGGGAGAATTCCGGTCCAGGGGGCGCTTCGGTCGGATCAGCCGCAGCTCTGCGAGATGGAGAAATTCACGGCTTTGGAAGCCGCCCGGCCAGAGCCCCGACCGATCCCCCGGGCAGAGAGGCGCCGACCGCCTGGGATCTCTCAGCCGAAGCTTCCCTGCGAAGGGATGGACCGGCCGCCTTTGTTCACCAACCCAGCCGGGAAAGAGCACCCGGCGCGGGGACTTTTTGGTCACGGCGATCGCCCTCAAGAGCGGGGCCACCGGGGAGGGAATCCGAGGGCAGCCCTGGTTGCGTGCCGGAGGCGACAGGCCCCGCTGGGAGGGACGCCTTTGCTCAGGGCCCCGGGAAGAATCCGTAGGAGAGCTCCGGCGACAGCCGCGGGCAGGCAGGCGAAGGCGGGACCCGTAGCCTCCGAGGGGCGCCCGACGCCCTTCCACCCAGCCCAGGTCCCGGCCCGTCTCTGCCAGGCGGCGGCAGTTGCGGGGCGGGGGGCGGGTCGTCCTGCTGGGACGCCGGGGGGTCCGGAGAGCGGGGCGCCCTGGAGAAGCTCCTTTCCTTGCTTGCCCCCCCACATCCGGGTTCCTGCCCTTCTCCCGGTACAGGGAGCTCCGCGGAGCTCGGCGGGACCCAAAGACGACCCTCGGGGCTCGGTCGGAACCGTCCGGCGCGCCCGAGGCGATTCTAGCGCTGAGGCCCGCGGAGCTCCGGTTCACCGGCGGCCTCCAAAGCAGAGGCCACACGGGCGAGGGCCGGCCTGTCCGGTCAGCGCCGGCCAGGATCCGGAGCGAGTATCGAGGCTGGGACTCAAGAGTTACGCCCGCCGAAACGAAGCGACGCCGGCCTACTGAGAGAGCGAAAACAGGAGGGTCGCCGAGGGAGCTACGCGTGGCCGGCCGTTCCGCGGGCTCCAGCGGGAAAGGGAGCCGCAGCCCGCCCCCCCCACACACACCGCGCGCGCCCCCCTCGGCAGGAGAGCCCGCTCGAAGCCCGCTTGCCCGCCTCGCCACCTTGGCTTGGCGGCGCGCTGTCCGATTGGCCGAGACGCGGCGGCTGGCAAGGCGCCGGGGCCAATCAGCGCCGCCTCGCTCCCCCTTCCCGCCTCGCAGCATAAAAGACGCGGCGCTGCGCCGGGCACGGAGCAACAGAAGCGTCGCCACCGCGTCTGCAGCCTCGCAGCGCCGGCCGGATCCAGCTGGGCAGCCAGGTGATCGCACGGGGCGGGCGCCGGCCCGGCTGGGGCACGCTGGGGGGGACGTGGATGGGGAGTCGCTTGGCTTCCTTCCGCGGGGAAGGACGGATGTCTGCAGGGCCTCCGCTCCCTCCGCATTTCCCAGCCGGCCTCCGGGACTCCCGTTGCCCCCGTTGCCGCGTCCGCCTGTCCCTTGCGCCCGTGTGGGAGGAATAGGCTCAGAGAGAACCCCCCCCCCGAACTTCGGGCTCTTATCCTCCACCCCCCCACCCGGGGGCAAGCAGACATCCAAAGCGGGTGATCCCCCCCCCATGTATGTGTTGGTTTAGAGAGCCCCCCTCCTCCCCCAAGGGGCCGGGTCTTTGGCTAGAGCCTGAGCGCGGTGTCCCAGCCCCCCCAGTAGGAGATCAACTGTTGAAGTGGGGCGGGGTCCTTGCTAGCCCACTTCCATCCCAGGTGGTCTTCATGAGGCCCCCTGCGCCCCCACCCCAAGGTTTGCAGACATTGGGTGTTTTGGTTCAAGGCCTCTAAATTGGGAGGGTGGGTTGATCTATTGTGACCATCCCGTCATAGGACGGGGCCCTTCCTTCCCCTTCTGCCCTCCCCCGCCGGAGCTCCTCTTGTTCTGCCCATTGTCCGGGCTCTGGGGCCCCTTACGAGGTGGCCAAAGGGCCAGGGGCCTTTCCAGTGTCACAGCTCAAGCTGCCCAGAGGCCTCTAGCGGGGGGGGGGGGGGAGGTTCCGCATCAGTTAATCTCGGGTCCTTTCATGCTTCCCTGTTTCGGCTCCCTCTCTGTCTCCCCCCCCACCTTCTGCTTTTCTCCTAAGCAGTCGGGCGAGGCGGATAGTTGAGGGGTGCTTCACCCATCCCTTAACTCTTTCCCCCTTTTCCGTTAAGCTGCTGCTAGCTGTGAAGAGAAGGAGCAGGCCAGCCCATTGGGGCATTCCCCCCCCCTGCCCAGACCCCCCCAGGAGTAGATCTAGGGGTACTTTGGGGGTGTTCTGCCCAGGGGCATCCCTCTTTGCCCCCTCCCCAGCCACTCTTTTATTTTGCTGCCTTGAATGACTTGGCCCCACCTAAGCCCTCCCCCCCCCTTGCCAGCCGGCCATTGGCTGCCTCTGGATCATTTTGACTTCCCTCCGCTGCTGTCCGGACACTTGGGCCCCCCTCCTCTGGTTGAACCACATTACTGACCTGTCATGCTGACCTCATCCTCTTATCCCAAGGCTGATAAGTTTATCCAGAGCTTTGGAGAAGTCCCGATAAAATAAATCAAGAGTTTGGACTCTCAGTCTTGCTGCTGCTTGATCCAATCTCTGCCAGCTGAGCTTCTCTCAGCACCCTCTGAATTGCCCCCTTTAAAGATCCCCTTGCAGGGACCTTCTGCTGGCCGATGGCTGCCTGGGTCGGCCCTCAGCCCTGGCCAGTCTCTTCCCCCACCAATCCCCTCTGAGCACGAACATTTTGGGGCTCTTGAGAAGAAACGGGGGGGGGGGTAGCTGGCCCAAAAGGAGAGTGGGCACCAGGATGAATTGTCCAGGAATGGGCCTGGCTGCTTGGGGGAGGGTGGACTCTGCTTTGCTGGAATCATTTAAGCAGAAGGTGGATGACCATCGGCTGGGGGATTTGCAGGAGCTGCCAGATGATCTCTGAGTTCCTTTTCTACCTTACGGCTTCTTTTGTTCTTTTTAAGCTGCGTCTTCTGAGAACGTATGGGGAGGAATGGGGGTGAAGGTGCTGGGAAGAGGCAGCAGCCATTGTCTGGAAAGAAAGAAAGGGAGCCCCAAAGGAAAAAAGGGGCTCAAGAAAAAACTTTGTGTGCCCACAGATCAGAAGACCTTCCTGGTGAAGAAGAGCCCCCCCACCTGCTGCCGCCCACCGTCATGGCTCCCACTCTTGCCACGGCCCACCGGCGCCGCTGGTGGATGGCCTGCACGGCCGTGGTGGAGAACCTCTTCTTTTCCGCCGTTCTCCTGGGCTGGGGATCCCTCCTGATCATGCTCAAGTCGGAGGGCTTCTACTCCTACCTGTGCTCCCTCCCAGGTAAGAAGCCCCTTCGTGGGCCGGCCCTCCCGAGCACCAGGTGTTGCCACATGGGCTCCAGCAGGGGCCTCCTGGGCAAGTCAGCCCCCCCTCCCCCCTGGGCAATCTGGCCTGTGTGGGCCACCTCTGGCTGTTTAGTGGGGGGGGGGCTCTGTGGGGAGGGGCATCTCTTGCGACCACCAGGAGCGGTCTGTTTTTTGGAGAGGGGCTGGAGCCATCTCCTATTCCTGCCCACCACTGTCTAGGCCGCCTCTAGGTTAGACTGGCTACTTGGCTTTTGGACTGGGAGGGGCCAGGACAGCCTTTGGACCCCTCCCCGTAAATCCTTTTCCTTCTTGGGAGTCTTTGCAGTCTGTTCCAAAGATATCAGCCACACTGGGCAAGGCTTGGGGGGGGGGGGAGAGGAAGCTCTTGCCTCTGTCTCCGTTCCTCCTTGCCCCCCCATCAGCCTTGCCCTTTGGACCCCGGTCAATCTTTTACAGGGTCTGAATAGGCTGAGACCTTGATAAAAAGCTGCTGTGGCAGAGATTTTATCCAAGAAGGAAAACGATAAGATCCCGCAGAACCTGCTGATTCTAGGCTGGCAGGAGAGGGCGGGTGGGGACGGCCCCGGAACGGAGGGAGCATCGGTGGGATGGGGGGGGGAGCGGTGGAGGAAGATCCACAGGTGAGAGTCAACGGCTGGTGTCCTCAGTACCAGCTCTGGCCGCCATGCCCTTCCTTCCTGCAGCCATCCTTGGGCCGTTGCATATTCTCACACACCGCAGTTTAACCCAAGGAAACTCCGCTGACCCCATGGCTCGGCTTAGCCCCTCCCCGTCAAAGCCACCCAAGCGGCAAACCGGAGTGATCCCCCCCCCCTTTTCTTGGGCCTGCCCAGAGTGAGCAACTGAGCTTTCAGAAGGGAGAGGGAAGCTGGGCTGCAGTCTCTCGCAAGGGGGAGAGGAGTCCGGGGGAGGGGGCTGCTTCCTTTGATGTGTCTCCCGCAGCAGAAGGGGAAGGGAGGAAGGGGGGTCTGCTCAGCATCCCCTGTCTGCAGGGAGGCTGGTGCTGCCTCTCCCGACTGAGTCTTGTCCTCTGGACTTTCTGGGGAATTCCTTCTGTTGCTGAGAAGCAAAACAGCCTCCTCCCCCTCTCTGTCTTGTGGGAGGGGGGGCTTAGCCAGAGAGGTCTCCTTCTCAGCTGGGGGCTCTCCAGACCTGCTGCCTGGCAGGACCCTTTGGGTGGGGTCCCTGCTTCTCCACTGCACTTTGCTGGCCCTGCTCTTCCTCACAGGAGGGGTACCAGGGAGGGGGGCTCTCTCTCTCTCTCTCTCTCTCTCTCTCTCTCTCTCTCTCTCTCTCTCTTTCTCTGTGTGTGTGTGTGTGTGTGTGTGAGAGAGAGAGAGAGAGAGAGAGAGAGAGAGAGCAGGGTGTGTCCTGTGGCTGGCTGCAGCCGGATCAGGGCCTCCTTGCAACAACTTTGCTCCACTCCGACTCAGCAGCAGCAGCCCTGCCTGTTGAGCTGGCGTTTTCCGGCTGAAGTGCTGACTTGCCTCCCCACATCCGCTCAGGGTCCCTGAAGCTGTCGGCCATGACAGCCGGTTCCCGCGGGAGGGGGCAAGCGGCTGAAGGCTGTGGGGGCGTGTGGGGGACCGCCAGGGGGTCCTGCCGGCTCCCTCCCTTTCCTTCCTGGGCTGGCGAAAGCTAGTCAGTTTCTGCAGTGCTGCTGGTCTCCGCTGACCTGACCTCGCCTGGGGGCAGCCATCTTGTAAGGGGGTGGATGGCCACGGCTCAAGGGAGCCCCTTTGGGGCTTGCTGGGCTGGTGGTGGGGGCTCAGCCCTAAGATACGGCTTGCCTGTGGCTCTTGCGCCCGAGGAGCCTGGTGTCTGGGGGTGTCCCTGGCGCTGGGCAAGCGATGCTGTGGGTGGCCCGTGGCCCGACTTGGTTCAGGGGCTCCCCTCCTTTTATCTTCTCTCCTCAGGTGACACTCAGGCAGCGCCTTGTGCCTGGCCCCAATCAGTCTTCGTGAACCGCCTTAAGGCGTTTTCTGTGGCTTTTCTGCAGACCCCAGGCCCTGGACCCTGGCCCTGTCCCGGTTTCCCCCCCCCCCGTAGGCCCTGGAGGGACGCTGTGCCAAAGGACGGGCATGGCCAAGGGCATCACCCATGAATCGCTCCAGATGTGCATGTGAAGCCAGATGGCTGAATTGCTTCCTCCGTTTCCAGGATGGTTTGGATCAGGCCTGCCTCTGGCGGGAGCCAATGATGGTGCGGGGGTGTGTGTGTGTGTTCTGCCCTAAGGCTGGGGTTGCAGTGGGGGCAGGAAATGAGCCTTCCCTGGGCAATGGGGCTGCCCCTCCTCTCCACTGCCTTAGAAGAAGGGAGCCAGAACCACATAACCTCTTCTGGTATCTGAGGGCCAGCTGCACTTTGGAGGCTGATCAGGGTGGCTGTGGGTCTGGCCCCACGTTGGCCCAGAGCCCCTGGGTCTCCAGCGCAGGGCACCCCCTATATGCTTTCCTCCTCCAAGGTAGACGGCTGGCAGGCCGAAGCGCCTCAAGGGCGGCCGGAGACTCCTGTCCCTGCCAACCCAGCTGTGTTTTCACCACAAACACAGCCCTGTTTGTGGTAAAGCCGCTGCTGGGGTTTAAAACCTAGGGTGAGGAGGGGACAACTTGGCAGGTGGTGGGAACAGGAACCTGCGAAGAGGCCTCCCTCTTGCCAGACCCCAACATAGGTGTGCCCCCCCCCACTGCCCGGGGCTATCTGCCCACCTTTCCTAGGGGCTGCTGGCCTCACCAACTGTAACTATCCCTTCGCCTGGCTTCTCTGCCGGCCTCTTCCCCTGCCCCCCCCCCAGCTCTGCCTGCTTCCTCCATGCCTCTGGCAGGCTGGTTAATGTTTCTCCTGAGCCACCTGTGAAAGTGGTCTCACGGTTGCGGGGGGGGGGAGCATCCAGCATCAACCGGCTGCATCTGGCTTGAGGCCAGCTTGAGGCCTCCTGTGGCGGATGGCAGGCAAGGGGTAACCACGGAAGCCGCCGAGGGCTGAGCCGGCTGCCCAGATGGACCAGCTAACCAGGGTTGCCCCTCTTGGGAGGCCAGGGCTGGCGGAGGGGGGGGAGGCAAGTGCCCCCATCCTTGCTTTGGGGAGAATATCGATCTCCCTGGAGGGTGGGTGGGATGCTCTGTGCCTCTGGCCCCATCTCCTGCCGCCGCCCAGCCTCTTTCGGCCCTTGAGTGAAGCCTCCTCTGCCAGGGGCCCACCTGGCTGCCTCAATCACTTGGCCCCTCTGAAGCCGGCCCCTTTGGGGAGGAGACCAAAGCCGGGGGGGGGGGAGGACTCAGCTTTCTGGCCCTTAACTCCCCCCCCCGCTGCCTCCCACTGCCAGTGGGATGCCCCCCCTCCCTTCCCTCTGGTGCTGGAGCCGCTTGTGGGGCGCTCAGCTGCCCTGGCAGCCCAGCCTCCTCCTGCAGGGGAGCGCCCTCTGACCGGCTTTCTGCAGATATTAGCTCCTGCTGACGGATCTCCTTGGCCCTTCGCCCTGTTCCCTGCCCTCCCTTTCACCTCGTAGGGCCGCCAGAGGCCCCTTGTGCACCCAGCGCTCTCCTGATGGAAGCAGAGGTTATTTCTGAGGCTGGGTCTCTTGTGGCTGAAAGTGCCTCTGTGGGGGCTCTCTTGGGCCCCGAGACGGCACATCTGCTTCCTCCCAAACCGTCCACAGCTTTTCCCTCTGCAACCGGCTCTCCCCACGGCTGGGCTCGTGCCTCGCCGGGGCCGTCTTCATCCCTAGAAAGGGAAGCAGCCACACCCAGAGGACGTGGTTGGGCCACAGGTGTCCAGTGGCTCAAGTCCCTTTCCAAAACCTGCTGAAATCTGAGCCTGGCTGAGACCTTGGCAGAAAGGCAGGGCCGTAGGATGTTGGCAAGGGCTTTGGACGGGGCCCACACGTGCCAGAACCTGGATCCGGCCCTCAGATGTGCCTCCTTCACACAAAATGGCTCTCCTCCTCCTCCTCCCCCTTGGCCTTTCCTCGGAAGGAGTTCTGCCCTTCAGTCTGGGGTCCAGTCTGGGCATCAGAAGCAACCCCCCCGGACCATGGTCTCCTCTTCTGGCGCCGCCCCGTCCCCTGGGCCTGGTGGGGTCTCTTGGGCAGGCTGCTGCCCCTCCGAGCTTGGGGGCACCTCGGCTGTCTGGCAGAGAGTCGGAGATGCTGGAAGCCTTGCAGCCCTGCTCCAGTGCCAAGGGCCTCTGGGAGGGGCCCCTGGAAAGGAGGTGCCTCGGCTGGAACTGAGGGGAGGAGGTGTCTTCTGGGTGGGGGCACCACTGCAGGGACTTTCCACCACTTGCAAGGACATCATGTACCCAATTTTGTTGAACTTAAAACCCATTTCTATCAATCAGCCCCCCCTTCTTAATGCAGGTTTATATTACTCACACACGATAGCTGTTCCGATAACATGGTTTTATGGTTTTATCATTATTTATTGCCTGTTTTTTTTTCTCTTAAATTGATGGGTGCATTGTTCAAATTGATGTTGCAAACCAGTGTGGGCTGGTCAGCTGGGAGCCTGCGGTCCCACAATACATCATAATTAAAGAACGGGAGCCCTGGGGCAGCCATGCCACCAGGTGATAGGCTGGAGGCCTTGCCCGCTTCCTCCAGGGCACCCCAGGGCGAGGGGTCCCCAGGCTCTTGATCCCGAAGGTTGAGAAGGGGGGCCACTCTTCCGCACCTAGCAGGGGGGCCCTTGCCCACCTCCCGGTTCTAGCATCTCCCCTCGCAGCACACCCGGGCCTTTTCTCTAGGCAGGAACCTTTGGGGCAGAGAGGGCCCCCCACCCCGGGAAGCCTTCGGAGCCCATCTGGGTCCCTTTGGAACAAAGACCAAGTCTTTGCTTTGAAACGTACCGGGCTCCCTTGTTTAAAATCGAAACAATCTTTTAAAACTTAAAGATGTCTGATGGATGGGGAGATGCCTGCAGGCCAAGGAGAGCCCCTCCTGTGCCAGGCAGAGCCAGCGTGGATGGGGAGGCCAAGCCTCCTTCGTGGCGCCTCCTGCAGTGCCCCTTCTGCCCCACAGAGAACTCGACGGGGGTGCCCGGGAACGGGACGGCAGCCCCAGAGCCGGAAGTGGCCCGCATGAACGGCTGGCTGATCTGCAAGGAGCAGGACGAGATGCTGAATCTGGCCTTCACCGTGGGCTCCTTCCTGCTGAGTGCCATCACCTTGCCCCTGGGCATCGTCATGGACAAATACGGTCCACGCAAGCTGAGGCTGCTGGGCAGGTAGGCAGTTCTCGGGCCGAAGCACAGCCGCCCGCAGCACCAGGGGGGAAGGGGCAGCTTCCCTCCCCTCCCAACAGCCTGGCAAGCTCTTCCCTCGGGATGGGGAGGGGTGCCCAGAGCCTGCGAGGAGGGGAGAGCCACTTGATCCACGCACAAGGGAGATCCACCCGGCTTCTGGGGGGAGGCTGCTGCTGATGTCTCCTGAGCCCAGGGCCAGAGGTCAGCGTGGCTGGGTGAAGGCGGGCTTTTGCTTTGCCCCCCCATCGGGGGTTCTTGGCCCATTCAGGCTTCCAGGGAGAAAACACCTCGCTTCCTGGCCCCATTCTGCATGCTGTGGGGGGGGGCAGAGAATCCCCTCCAAACTCTGGGGGTGGGGGAGGGAGCATGGAGAGAACAGCTTGCCTCCAGAAGCAGTAAATGCTCCAACACTGGAAGTTTTTAAGAAGAGACTGGACAGCCATTTGTCCGAAATGGTGTAGGGTTTCCTGCCCGAGCAGGGGGTTGGACTAGATGACCTCCAAGGTCCCTTCCAACTTTACTATTATTATTATTATTATTATTATTATTATTATTATTATTATAAGGCTCTGCTCTTCCTGGCCGGTAGCTTCCTGCGTCATCAGGGTGGGTGACTGGCAGCTGGACAGGGAGGCTTCATCTCCTGGGCCCTGGCTCAGAGCCTCGGTCGAGGGGAGCCTTTCGAAGGCAGGGCACGGTGGGCCAGGGGAGGCCTGTCGTGGGTTCGAGGATCCCGGATATGGGGAGGGGCCTGGGGATCTGACCCGAGGGACTGATGGGCCTCCCTGTGTGCCTTTGCAGCGCCTGCTTTGCGGTCTCCTGCGTGATGATCGCCTACGGGGCCAGCAACCCGGACTGTGAGTGTGACCCAGGGCACTCTGGGGAGGCTGGGGTAGGGGCGGGCGTGGCTTCTTTGCGGGGGGAGCCTTGTCTAGTGGGGGGCTGGGGATGGGCAGGGCTCCCGAGGCATGTCCACCCTGGGCTCCTGGCCTGGCGGGCACTGGCTGGCATTCAAGCGTTTTCTCCCTCTGTCCCAGCTCTGTCGGTGCTGATCTTCATCTCCCTGTCGCTGAATGGCTTCGGAGGGATGTGCATGACCTTCACATCTCTCACGGTAAATGCCAACTTCCCTGGTGGGCAGGGCGAGCTCTTGTGCCCCCTTGAATGGGGCGGCTTGATGGGCACCCGTCTTGCCTCAGAATGGTGTGTCTGCCCCCACAGCACCCCTGCCGGAGGGGATTTGGGGGGGGCTCTGTGCCCTTTCTGAGGAACCTAGAAAGGGGAGGGAAATGCCTGCTGTGATGGGCGCAGCCTTGACCGGGGCTCTTGGCCTCCCTGTGCCCATCCGCCGGAGCCGAGTGAAGGCCCAGAGGGTGCCCTTGCCTGACACTGGCGGGAACCCCCGTGCTCTGCCCTTAGTCGTGCCTCATTTGGGGGAGCTTAGAAGGAGGCTGGGTCAGATCAAACAGCCCCCCCTCCCCTCCACATGGCTTCCAGTCTAGCCTTGCCAAAGGTGTGGAAAGTCCAGATGGAACGCTCCCCCTCCCCTGCCCCTTTTCCTCCCAAATTGTGGGTCTAGGGACCACCATCACCCCCCTCTGCCTCTACAGCTTCCCCGCCTCTTGCTCTTGAGTAAACAGGCAACTGCGCAGAGTCTCCCTCTAGCCAGCCTTTTCTGCCCTCACACTTGTCCTCCCTGCCCTCCCTCCTTTCCTCCCTCCCTCCCTCCTTCCTTCCTTCCCTCCCAGCTGCCCAACATGTTCGGGGACCTTCGCTCCACCTTCATTGCCCTCATGATTGGCTCTTACGCGTCCTCGGCAGTGACGTTCCCGGGGATCAAGGTAAGAGGGGGCTGCGGGAGGGGGACAGTGCAGGCTGGGAATGGCAGCCCGGTTCCACTCCCCTCCCCCGGTGACTAGAAAACTCCCCAACTCCCCCGGGGTCACCAACTTTATCCAACTGAGGTGATGCCAGACTCTAGTTGGCTCCCGTTGGCTCCCAGCACAGTGATAAAGCCCCCCAGGAGCCCATAAGAGGAAAGGGCTGGTTGAGAAGAAAGCAGGTCAGACACCCACCAAGGGAGAAGAGCCCCCCCCCCCGAGGATTCACAGGAGACCCTCAGGGTGGAAGCCTCCCGGATCTTGGGGGGGAGCTCATTCCACGGGCCCCGTGTCACCCATCTCAGCCCCACTGGGTCTGGACCGAGCGTCAGCTCCACAGGAAGAGTGCAGCTGCTCCCCGCGGAAGGAGCTCTAACGAACACCAGCAGCCTCCCGTTTTATTCCTGCTTGACCCGGCCTGTCTCTCTTGAGGCCGCCATCCCTGCTCTCTGCAGGAGGCCATGGCTGTATGCTGCCCAGAAGCAAACTGGGAACCAGCGCAGCTCAGCCACCAAGCTTCTGAGTGGCTTTCAAAGCAGCTCCCTGTAGAGTGCATTGCAGTAGTCAAGCTATTAGGTGACCAGGGTAAGAGTCCCTAAAGGGCCCCCCAATCTAGGAATGGGTGCAGCTGCTGTCACCCCAGATGAAGCTATCCAAAGCAAACTTGGCCGCAGATCTGGGCAGCCCCTCCAGGCTGCAGGAAGGAATACAGGAGGGCACCTGGACAAGGGAAAGCCAAAGGCCTGATGGAATTTAACCCACTCCTGTGCTCACAAACACACACCACCTCTTTTTGCATGGTTACTGAAAGTTGTGTAGCAAATGGCAAACCATTTCTGCACTGTTTAATAATAATAATAAAGTTGGAAGGGGCCTTGGAGGTTATCTAGTCCAACCCCCTGCTATACCATTTCAGACAAGTGGCTGCCCAGTCTCTTCTTATAAATCTCCAGTGTTGGAGCAGTCGCAGCTTCTGGAGGCAGGTTGTTCCACTGGTTAATTGTTCTGACTGTCAGGAAGTTTCTCCTTAGTTCTAGATTGCTTCTCTCCTTGATTAGTTTCCATCCATTGCTTCTTGTCCTGCTTTCTTCAGGGGCTTTGGAGAACAGCTTGACTCCCTCTTCTTTGGGGCAGCCCCTGAGATACTGGAAGACTGCTGTCATGTCCCCCCTGGTCCTTCTCTTCATTAAATTAGGCACACCCAATTCCAGCATCAAAGGAGGCCTTATGTGCTTTAGCCTCCAGTCCCCTGATCCTCTTTGTTGCTCTTCTCTGTACTCTTTTGTGGAACCCATGTTGCATTTCCAGGAAAGGGAGGCTGTGTGGAAAACACAGCTGTTCTTGCAGCCCCAGAAGTTGGCCCTGGGCACAGGCAGACCCGGGGATGGGGAGGAGGGGGTGCTTGGCTGCCCTCATGGGGGGGGGGGTTGGGGTGAGTGGGCTGGGCGGCCGGCTTCACCTGGGACGGGCAAGGCAGCTGCATGGACTGGTTTCGATTGGCAGCTGGCCTGCAGGGCTTCTCCCAGGATGGCTGACCCAAGTGCCGCCCCCTTGTTTTCATGGGGGTCGTGTTGCAATGCTGGGACTGGCAGTTGGAGCACATTGGAGAGAGGGAGGGGAATTGAGGAGCGTCTCCATTTTCTCCTGCCTGAAGAGCTTCAGATGGGGGCTCCATGGGCTCCCCACAGGCCTCCTTTGACGCTGGAGGAACGGGCTGCGCCAGAGTGAACTTTAACCCAGCTCCAAAGCCACATTCAGTTGCGCCCGGCCTTGGGGCTGCTTACCGCCCAGCCCCATTGCAGCCATGGTGCCTTGCCTGCAGAAAGGGCCCCTGGGAGCTGGCCCCTACGGGCCCAGCTCTTCCCACAAATCCCCCCCCTGTGGCCTCAGCCCGACCTCTCTTCAGCTGGCTCCTTCTGCTCCCCAGGTGATCTACGACCTGGGCGCCTCCTTCATCCTCATCCTGCTGATTTGGGCCGGCTGTGCGGGCCTCGTCTTCTTCAACTGCTTCTTCAACTGGCCACTGGAGCCCTTCCCAGGCCCCGAGGACATGGACTACACGTGAGTGGCTGGCGGGGGGACAGGCGTGGGCAAGCTGGGTGGGAAAGGGGCCCTGCGTGGCCGGCCCACCTGAGGGCCACTCAGTTCTTCCAGAGCTTTGCAGACCCTCCAGTTGTCCCAGGGAGCCCCCCCTTCTGCCAGCCGCCCAGGAACTCGTTCTAGCTGAGCCCTCCTGGGGAGTGGGTGCCAGGGCTGGCTTTCCCGTGCTGGCTGCTGCTCTGCCTGGAACAGATTACCCCCCTCCCCAGGCAGGGGCCTCCCCGGCCTTTCACAGCTGGGGATGCCCCTTAAGAGGGTCCCTGGCAAGGCCAGATGTGCCCACGTTGCTCCCAGGAGCTCCTTCGGTCTGGGGCCAAGACCCAGCAGGACCGACCTTTCCGCCACCAGGGTGAAGATCAAGTTCAGCTGGCTGGGCTTTGACCATAAGATCACCGGGAAGCAGTTCTACAAGCAGGTGACCACGGTCGGCCGCCGCCTCAGTGTGGGCAGCTCCATGAAGGGCAACAAGGAGTCCCCGGCGCTGCAGGACGGCAACAAGCTCTGCTTCTCCACGGTGGATCTGGAGGTGAAGTGCGAGCCGGACAGCGCAGGTGAGGAGCGCGCGCAGGGGCTGGGGCTGACCCCTCCGTCTGCCGCCTGGCTTCGCGCACTTTGGGTGCTGCTGCCGTGCCGGTTGGACGGGCAGCTTGGCAGGCCCCTGCTGCAGTGTGGCTTCTCCATTGGCTAGCCCCCCCCTCCCCTCTGGAAGGCAGTCATCTCGGAACTCCCAGTGCAAGGAGTCAGGGCTGCCCGCCTCTCCCACCTGCAAGAACTAGGGGTGCCACGGGAGGCCCTCTGCACCCTGGGCCCTGTGGGCCTGGTCTGGCCTCAGGGGCCAAAGGGCAAGGGGTCCGCTTCTGCCCAGCAGCCTTTCCTGCCCTCAGTGAGCCAAGAAGGAAAGGCTGCACAGAGACCTCTCCTTCTGGTGATAGAGAGTTTTGGGGTGAAATTGCTGCCCCCCCCCCAGAGTTCCCTTCACGGAGGGCTGGAGTGGCCCCTGAAAGGACACAGCCCGCGGCTTTGCTGAAGTGGGAGGAGGTGACCGCTCGGACAGCCCATACCACCCTGAGGTCTTGGGCCAGGCAGCTTTGCTCTGATCCCACCAGGCAGCCATTTTGGGGGGTGGCCCTGGGGCCCTGCCCAGCCAAAGTGAGGCCAAACTGGCCCTCTGGGCCCAGGAGAAGTGACCGACTGATCGCACAGCTCTGCCAGCCCTGTTTGTGGTGTCTCCTGGGAAAAGCCTGACGGATCTTTCCTTTCTCCCCCCCCCCCCCGCTCCCACTTGCCCCCCCTCCCTCCAGCTTCCCCGTCCTTCATGCACAGCGTCTTTAGCCCCATCCTGCTGCTCAGCCTGGTCACCATGTGTGTCACGCAGCTCCGTCTCATCTTCTACATGGGCGCCATGAACAACATCCTGGAGTTCCTGGTGGATGGCGACCTGGAGACAGGTGGGGGCCCTCTCCTGCCCACGGGAGACCCACGTCGGGGCCTGGGGGAACCCGGCTTCCATCTGGCTGACCCCTGGCACTCGGAGACCGCCTCAGGTGCTATAGTGTCCTGTGGGAGTGGCCGTGGAAGAGCGGAGAAGCCCCCCGTGGCCTCGGCAACATCTGATCAGAGGCAGCTCGGTCGGGGGGGGGGGGAAACACAGGAAGCGCGTCAGAAGGGGACCCTCCCTAGTTTTCTGGAGGATAAACAGAGAGGAGAGATGAATTAATTCATCTGGGTCTGCTTCTTATTTGGGCTACCTCGCAAGGCTGGCAGTTGCTTTCCGGCTGCTGGTCCTTCAACCGCGCCCACAGCCGGCTGCTGATAGCTGCAGCAGGCCCCTCTGCGCACCAGCAAGGCTGGGACTGAATCAGCAGACACCCCAAATCCTAAGCTCAGCCCTTCTCCCCTCAGACATCTTGGTGGCCATGCTGGCGGGGGGGGGATGGGCACCAGTCTGGGCACGGAAGGGCTTGTGACGGCCACCGCACGTTTGGCTGCCATTTATGTCTGAAAGAAGGCAAGGAGGGAAGGACCCAAGGGTCCCCCTCTCCCAGATGGCCCCCTGCTGCCTGCTGGGGCCCAGATGCCCCTCCATTTCCGCCCCCCCCCCCAGCAGAGGCTGTTTTGCGAGGCAGGCAGGCACTTGTGGCTGTTGTGATGCTCCTTCCAGCTGTGTTGCCATGACAAGCAGGGTGCTGGGAGCCTCGGCAAGGCACTGCTGCTCCCTGGGGGATCCGGCTGCTACTGGGGGGAGGAAGGGGGGGGCATTTCAGCCAGTGGGTCAGAGGGGCCAGTTTGCCCCCTGAAAAGCAGAGAAACAACAGGGAGAAGGAGAAGGCCGCAGACTCTGCGCCAGGCCCCTATTTATAGCTGCTGGAAGGAAGCCAGGAGGAAGGGGGAGGTTTGCACCAGCAGCACCGTGTCTTTGGCATAACAGGGTGAAACCATGCGCGCCTCTTGCGTAGTGACAGCCGTTTTGGGCCTGTTAAACCTGGAATCCGTTGAAGCAGAGGAATCGGGCCCGGTGCTTTCCCCGAGGGCGGGAGGGAGGGAGGAGAGAGTGGTGGGAGAGGGCCAAGGGGTGCCTACCCACCGGGGAACCTGCTCCTGTGCCTGCCTCCCCAGGACCTTGCGGAGCAGAGCTTTCGGAGGCCCCCAGGGTGCCCGGGTGTGGGCTCAGGGACCGGTGTGGCCAGGGGGCTGGCCCCAGCCCCTTCTCAGCCCCGGCTCTGCCTGCTTCCTGGCTCTGCCTCTCCGTCTCCAGGCCGGATCCAGAGCCAGCTTGGGGGGCCCTCAGCCAGGCAGGGGGCAATGCCCTCTCTTGCTGGGTCCACCAGCTGCGCAGCTCTGCCCTGGGGCCCATAACAGAGACCGGACAGGCTGGGTGCCCCGTGCTTGGCCTCCTGCAAGGGGGGCTCTGGTTGGGGGGTTTTCGTCTCCCTGATGGGGCCTGTCCGCTTGTCTTCCAGTGGGTCTTTACAGCTCCGTCTTCGGAGTCTTGCAGCTGCTCTGCCTCCTGACGGCACCGGTGATTGGCTACATCATGGACTGGAAGCTGAAGGAGTGCGACGACGGCCCTGAGGAGGAGGACAAGGGAGACGCCAGCCCCCCGTACGTGGCCAGTGGGCAGGGGCAGCTGTGGGGTGCCTCCCTGCCAGCTGGGTGCCCAACCTACATTCCTTCCCCTCTGAAGCTTAGGAAAGGGGTGCCGCTTCCCACACGCCCTTGGCAGCTCACGGCGTGGGGTGCAGGAGTGCCACCTGCCGCAGGGAAGGGCCCTGCCCGGATGGGAGGCCGTGAGGCAACTAGGTCACTGGGCCAGGAACCGCAGTGCCGTCATTGCGGGCCTTGTTTGTCAGGGACTGGCAGCCTCTGGCAGAAGGACGAGGTTACTTGGGAAAGCGGAGCCCTTGGAAGTAGGGAAAGGGTCACTGGGCACTGGCTGGCACCGGAGCAGCAGGCAGGGAAGGATGGGGGGCAGCCCGTGTGTGACCCTTCCTCCCGCCTGCAGGGGTGAGAAGAAGAAGAAACCTCGGGACCGCCGGATCCAGAAGATCTGCAACGCCACTCGGGCTTTCGCTTTCACCAACGTACTGCTGGTGGGCTTTGGGGTCACCTGCCTGATCCCCAACTTGCCTTTGCAGGTGAAGGAGGGGGACGTGGGCTGAGGGGGGCAGCTGGGCCTGCGGGGTATGTTTGGGGAAAAGGCTGGCCGGCCTGGCCCTGTCCTGGGGGACCCCCTCTGCCGGCGTGTGGGGGGTCCCGGCTCCACTCAAGAGCTTGGAGGAAGGCAGGGGCCGGGGGTCCTGCGGGGGCTCCTGGCTCTGAAGGGGGTCTCCCCGCTCTCCCTCGCAGATCCTTTCCTTCATCTTGCACACCATCGTCAGAGGCTTCATTCACTCGGCCGTCGGGGGTCTCTATGCTGCTGTGTAAGTCCAGCACCCTCTCCTCAGCTGCCCATAGCAAAGTGGGTCACCCCATTTCTGGGTCACGTCTTCCTCCTCCCTGCGTTCCCTGCCGCCTGGCTTTGCCTCCGGATATTGGCCAGCACCTCTGGGTGCTGCTCCAGAGCGGGTGTGCCCGCCCCTGCCTGCCTCCCCAGCTCTCTGATGGAGGCCGAGGTCAGCTCAGGCCAGGCTGCCTTCCCTGCGGAGGAAAACAGTTTCCTCACGCCCGGCTGGCCCTCCGTCCTGAACTCTTAGCGCCCCAAGGAAGGCAGCTGAAAGGCTCAGGGCCCCCCCCAGGGCCCACCCGCCCCGTGCCCCGGAGCGCTTTCCCTGGGCCCGGATCCAGGTCTCGCTTTCTCCCCCCTGCCCCCCCTGCCCCCCCTGCATTTCCTGGTTTCTTAGCCTGGCTGGCGGGTCATTCTCTCACACAGACACAGGCACACACAGGGACACAGCCACACACACACAAACGCACGCACAGAGACAAACACATACACAGAGACGCAGGCGCACAGACAGGCCCTGGATCCAGTTGCAGCTGAGGCAGGCGCTTTATAGGGCTGACTCACATGTTGTTGTCCTGCTCAGCCGGGAGTTGTTTTGGACAGGAGGTTTCGGGCTGTGGGGTCACGGAGGGCGTTGGGTGCAGCTCCCAGGGTTGCTCAACCGGGAGAGGCCGGGCCAGGCACATCTGACTCCCAGGCTCCTGCTCCGTGCCAGCCTTCCGCATTCAGCACTTTGCAATGGGGGGGGGGGCTGGGCTCCTCTGGGCGGGGCCTGCCTTGAGGAGGCTTCCAGGCTGCTCTCTTTTTTGCAGAGACCCCAATACTTTGCTGTCGCTCTCCCCAATCTCACACATGTAAAACCACAGCAAGGGACCCGGGCAGAGGGAGGGTCTCCACTCAGCAGCTGCAGATGTCTGTGGGTCACTTGCACCTTTTCCCCTCTCCCCCAGATATCCCTCCACGCAGTTTGGCAGCTTGACTGGGCTGCAATCTCTCGTCAGCGCCCTCTTTGCCCTCCTGCAGCAGCCCCTTTTCCTGGCCATGATGGGCCCCCTGGAAGGAGACCCCCTCTGGGTAAGTGGTGCCACTTAGGCTGGGCGTGGTGGCTGCGCAAGGTGCGGTGCCCGTGGGAAGGGAAGAGGGCAGGGAACAAGTCGTTGCCTGGCAGGGACTCCCTCCACGGCCAGTTCTGGGCCTTGGGGCTCAGAGGGGGTGGCAGCACCGCCAAAAAGACTCTGCATGTCTGTGGCAGAACTTCCTGGTCCCTGGGTGGCCAGTCCGTCTGCTGTGGCCCAGGAGGTGGACAGGGGCTCTCAGCAGAGTGGGACCAGTCTGGGGGCTTGGACCTTCTCCTGGGGGGGGGGCAGGTACATGCCCAGCCCACCAAAGCACACATCTCCAAGGGAGGGGCTTTGAGTGTTTGGGCCAAGAAAAGGAACCTCCCTTAAGGGTCCTTCCTGTGGCCTGGCATTGCCTGGGAGGGAAGTCTGCCAGCAGGACCCCCGGCCCCACGTCTGGACCCTTTGGCCTTGCGCTGAAGCCAGCCCCCCCCCCCAGGAGGCTGCCTGGTCACGGTCTGGGTGTCAGACGTCTCCTGGATCGGCTCCCAGGAACCACATGGGCTTTGTTTGTGCAGCGGGGCCGGGGTGGGGGGGGCTGGCTGGGAGCCATCCAGCTGTTGTCTGTCTTGGGCACGTGAGGAAGGCCGGCTCCAGGCGTCTGCAGGGCTGCTGTCTTGGCAGCGGCCTCTGTCTTTGGCCTCCAGGAGGGAAAACATCTCAGGGCCCTTCGTGCAGATCTGGCCTCGCAGCCGCTGTTCTCTCCCTGGCGAGACCTGCACGCTGAGGATGGGGGGTGGGGCATTCGGGGGGGGCAACACAAATGTGCCCCTGTCCCGTCGGACAGGGGTCTAGGAAAGGAGGAATGTCCTGGAGGGGGGAGCTCTGAAGCAGCTGGCCTCCTGGACTCACCGGCTTCCATCGCAGGCAAGGGGACGATCCAGGGATTCCCATCCTTGGCATGGGGTTGGACTAGAAGACCTCTGAAGTCCCTTCCAACCAGATCCAGATGGACTAGGGCTTCCTCTCCTCAGGCCACCTTCCTTTCTCCCCCACAGCCGCAAAACACATGGGCAGCCCATTTTCTGGCTGGGAGGGGAGCTGTGAGCCAGCGTCGGCCCTCGGGTAGCAAGTGCAGCCCAGGCAACAGCCTCTCCTCCTGGGCGGCTGCTCCCTCGGGAGAGAGCTGGGCCTGGCCTGGCCAGGGGACACCGCAGGCAGCAGGCTTGGCACTCTGGGTCCACAGGCAGTCGTGTGCTTGGCACTCGGGGGCCACGGTGCCCAGGGAGGGGGGCAGGACAGGGGGCCCTTCAAGCAGAGGCGGCAGCTGCAGAGTGAGCCGCGCCTCCAGGCTACCCTGTGGAGAGGCCTCCCTCGCCCTCACCTCCCTCACCCTCTCTCCTGCCAGGTCAACGTGGGGCTGCTGGGGGTGAGCATGCTGGGCTTCTGCCTGCCCCTCTACCTCATCTGCTACAGGCAGCGCCTGGAACGGGAGAAGCAGCAGAAGGATGAAGACGCCAAGCTCTTCCTCAAGATCAACGGCACACCCAGCGAGGAGGCCTTCGTCTAGAGACGCCGTTTGGACTGGCCGGGGGGGCTCCCTCCCTGCCCTGAGGCCCCAGTAAAGCCCCCCAGGTCCCCCAGCACAGCTCCCATCTCACGGGCCTTGCTTTGGATTCAAAAGCCACGCCACCATGCCTCTTCCGTGACACCATCCTGCCGTGGCCTCTCTTACCCACGGTCTCTGGTGCTGGCCTCAGAGACGGCTAACGTGATACGGGTCTTGGTTGCTTTGCAAAGGGAATGGACCCCTCCCCCCTCCTGCTCTGGTGACCTAGCCCTTCCTGGCACACCTGTACCACGCATGGACACACACACACACACACACAGGCAACGGCTTGGTTTGTGTCTGTGCAGGACACAGACTCCGGCCTCCCTCCCCATCTGCCTGTTCTCCCATCCTGGGTGAGGGCTTCCAGCCACTCCCCTGGTCCTCTTGCAGGAGCCTGCTGGTCCCTCCGACCTCCGCAGCCTCTGGCCGAGGAGGAGCAAGAACATCTGGTCTGCCTATGTCTTGCACCTGTCCTGGGGGGGGCGGAATTTGGCCCCCACTATCTCTGCAGTTTGAGGACCAGCTTGAAAAGCGCTGCGGCTTGCACAGTGTCTTCCCCCTCTTTGGACTTTTTGGGGTGTGACTGAAGAGGGGCAGCTTTGCACAGGGTCGCTTAGGCATTGGGCTGTAGTGGAAAATGACCCCAAAGTCTCAAACGTTAAGGGGCCTGGTGGACCGAGGCAAGGAGACGCCCCAAATCATGAAGGCTCCTGTCCAGCCATCGTCCCGGCCCCTCTGGCTCCGCCAAGGGCAGTTTTAGCCTCCTCACGCCAGGCACAGCAGCTGCTGCTGCCCCCTGGTGGTGGGAATCCTCCTAGGCAGGGCACCTGTTCCCTTCCAGATGCCACGGGCAGATTGCACTGTCTTGTTTCTAACATCAAAAGAAAAACACACCACTCTATCTGGCCTTCGTGTTTTTTACTCTGAGCAGCCAGAAGGCTGACCTGGTAGAAAGTTTGGTCAAGGTGCTCCCCTCGGAGGCTGGTGAGCTACCCTTGGCCGGAGAGGCTCCGGGGTTGGACATTGAGTGAGGACCGGTAGCCCACATCTTCCTTGGACCTTATCCGTGGCTGCCTTCTGGGTGCCAGCCGAGGCCTGGGGCTCATCTGCCCCGCTTCCCTCCCAAAGGAGGAGAGAAGGAAGCAACCGGCTCCCAGAACGGTGCTTCTTCCCTCTTGGCTTGCGTGCAGGCAAAGAGAGCTGGGATTGCCCAACTGTGTGCCAGGATTGGCAGTTTCCAGGTGAAGCTGTGGCACAGCTTGTTCTCCACAGAGGGCATGTGGAAGAAAGCAATGATGTCACTCTGTATCCCCCACAAACGCTGAGCTGAGGGGAAGCAAGTGACCTTGAACTCTGTGCTAAGTGCCAGTGAGGCAACAAACCCTGGTTTGGCAAGGAGGGAGGCTGAAAGCACGGGGTCCATAGCCAGGCAGAGCTAAAGGGGGCCACAGGGAAGCGAATGACCGCCCTAATTGGCGGTTTCCTCCAATTGGGGCCCACTAGGGGACCGACAAGGCCAGATGGCGCAGCATTTAAACTGGCACTCTCGCCAAAGGTGGCTGTCAAGCCAAGAGTGTGAGGAGGCTGGGCGGCATGGCTCCGGCAGGCTCCGGCCCACCTGCTGCAGCTGTCACATTAATGCCTGACACAGCTGGTGGGAAGGAGTGAGCAATGGGAACGCAGCCTCTTGCAGATCCAGAGGCGCTGCTGGCCAACAGCACCGGAGGCAACGTGGCAACTCAGATGCCGAAGGGAAGTGCAGAAACAAAGGGCAAGCTTCAGGGCCCACTAGCTAGACCCCCTCTGCAGCACCTGGGTGGAACAGAAGGGGACAAGGGATGCTAGTTTGAGCATGCCCAGCACACGGCATGTGCACTGTGCCTACCCAGTCCCAGCTGAGGCTCTCCTCCACCATAACCCCATAGCGGTCTGGGGTTAAATGCATCCCGATACTCTGCCAGCTTGCTTGGGTGACGGACTGAGTGAAACTGAAGTCCTGAGAAGCACAAGGGTGTGTGTGTGTGTGAGAGAGAGAGAGAGTGGGTGTGGGCTGGCCCTCTGGGGCAGCTTCTGTATGCAGCCCCCGGGAGAGGCAGGCAGGACGCAGCCCCGAGGCCTAAGCCCAGGGCATTGGCCCAGCTGAGGATTCCCTCTACCTGAATTGGCCAAGGGGCTCCTCAGGCTTTCTTGAGGAGGGAAAAAAGCGCCCCCCCCACCTAGTAGTCCTGCAGACTTCTGCAGCCTCCCAGACTCTGCTTAGCACCCCTCAACGGGTCAGGCATACATCCTGTCCCTGGGGCATGAAGAAGCTGCCCCATGGGTCTGCCCACTGTTGCTGAGGTAGGTGGAAGCTGGCTGAAGGTGCTCCAGCCTGAGAGGAGCTTTCCCTGCCCCTTGGGCAGGAGCCCCCTCCCTTCCAGAGGAGCCCCCTGCTGAGCCCAACCAGGCGGTGGCAGGTGGGTGCCCGTGCCATCTTTGTGGAGGGCTGGATTGGCACAGCTGGTTTCTCCTCGCCTCTCGTCACTTGGACTGGAACCTCAACCTCGTGTCAGATGGTCTTCTAAAGGGTTGGTCCTCCCCCAGTCATGAAGGCCTGGCTCTGCCCCCCCCCCCCGGCACAAGGGATTCTCTTGTGGGAGGCCACCACATCCTGGCTTCTAAAGAGCTTTTTTCCACAGGCAGCCCTAAAGTCCTAGAGGGGAAGCCCTGTGCGGCCAGGCCGTGGTCTCTCTGATGCTGCAGGGGGAAAGTGGGGGCTATGCCAACTTCAGCCCCCTTCCCCCAGCTCAGGCTTGCCCTGCGCAGAGTTGCTTTCCCAGCCAGGCCAGGCAAGGAGATCCTTGCCTGCTAAGATCTCACTAACAGGTCTGTGAATCTGGGGACTTCTTTGGTGGGTCTGCTTTCCTTTGGGAGCCCAGACCAGCAGCCACAGTGCCCCCTTGCTGCTCCCTTACGCAGCCACCATCCTGGGTTGGAAGAAAGGCCTGAGGGGAACTTTAAAACTTCTATGGCCCCAGGATGCCACCCAAACCACTATACCACACTGCTCTGAGCAAACCTCTGCTCTGCCAAGGACTGGACGTGGGTCAGCAGGCCTCTCCCCCGTCCGCCAAAGTGAATCAGCCTCACCAGGGAAGCTCAGGAGATGCCCTGGGACCCCACATAGCAAGCTACAGAGATTACAAGAATAACAGTTGGAAGGCACTTGGAGGTCTTCTAGTCCAGCCCTCTGCTCAATGGACCTTATTCCACTCCAAACAAAAACACTGTCCAGTCTCTTTTTAAAAACATGCAGTGTTCAAGCACCCACAACTTCTGAAGGCAAGCCATTCCACCGATGAATTGTTCTCACTGCCAGGAAATTCTTAATTCCAGATTACTTCTCTCCTTGATTAGTTTCCATCCATTGCTTCTTGTCCTGCCCTCAGGTGCTTTGGAGACTACGTTGACCCCCAACTCTTCTCTGTGACAACCCCTCAAATATTGGAAGACTGCTGTCATGTCACCCCTGGTCCTTCTTTTCATTAAACTAGACATGCCCAATTTCTGCAACCACTCATCATATGTTTTAGCCTCCAGTCCCCTGATCATCTTTGTTGCTCTTCTCTGCACTCTTCCTAGAGCCTCAATATCTTTTTTGTATCGTGGTAACCAGACCTGAAGGCAGCATTCCCAGTGTGGTGTTACAGTACAAAGCGGTATCAACACTTCCCGTGATCTTGATGCTTCCCCTCTGTTGATGCAGCCTAGGACTGACTGCATTGGCTTTTTTGGCAGCTGCAGCAAATGTGCTGGTCGCCCTGCAGCTGCTGCTGTGGGATGGCCCATCAGTGAAGGGTTTTAAGAAGACATCGGACAGCAGTTGCTTTGAAATGGTATGTCTCTTGCTCAAGCAGAGGGTTGGACTAGAAGACCCCCAAGGTCCTTCCCACTCTGTTATTCTGTATCCTGCATCCTCCCCATCCTGAAGCCACCCTCTGGACACCCACCTTTTTGAACGTCGGCACCCACAAGTGCTTACTTCCTGGGGTCAGAACTCTGCATTTACCTTACTACAGCTCAAGATAGTTTGGGGCCCTGCTGGCTCATGATTGCCTTGCGGGCAGTAAGGGCGCCCAGATCCCGGTCACAGCGACTGCCTTGCGAGGTAGACCGAAGCAGGAGACCGGCTCCGCAGGGAGATCTGGCAAGTCTGCCGGTGCTCTTCCCCCCCCCCCGCCTCACGAGTCCCTTCTTCAGAGAAACTCCCCTCCCAGGACTCTGGGCTTTCCAAGCGGCTCCTTGTGCGGGCCTCGAGGCCCTCCCCGGAAGGCCTTTCCTGCGGAGCCCCCCCCCAGGTCCCCCCAAGAGGGGCTCGGCAGGCGCTCCGGCCAGGCTCCGTCGGGGCCCCGGGAGGCCTGGTTTGACCTGCGCGCAGCTTCTGCCTTGCCGCGGCCTGCCTCGCGCTTCCCCCCGGGACCTCATCCGACTCCATTATACGGTCCGCGTCCGGAGAGGGTCCGGGGCCGCTCGCAGACGCCGGAAGCGGCGAAGGGGCGCCTGGCGGGAAGGGCGCTCGCTCGCTCGCTCGCTCGCTCGGCAGTGCGGCACTTCGGGCGCCGCGGGCGCCACTTCCTCCCCTGGCCGCGGGGCGGCGCTCGCCCGGCCCTCCCTTTCCCCGCCCGCCGCCGGCCAAGGAGAGCCGGGCAGCGCCGCCCCCTCCGTGCGCGTGACGTCATGCGCCGGACGCCGCGCGGTGACGCAAGGCTGTTGCCGAGGAACGCCGCCCGGTGCGCCCGCCTCCCCTTCCGCGCCGGAACCCCGAACGCGGCGCCGGGGACGGAGGGGCCGCAGAGTGACGGACGGCCGAGCGGAGCACGGACAGACGGGAGAGCGGGAGAGCGAGCGGGCGGCGGGGCCGCGGCGGGGCCAGCGGAGCAGCGCCCGCCATGGTGCTCGTCAAAGAATAGTGAGCGAGTCGCGTCGCGGCGGGGAGTTCCGCGGGCGGCGGCGGCGGCGGCGGCGGAGGGAGGGGGGGCGAGAGCGGGGGGGGGCTTGGCCGGCTGGCGGCTCCCGTCCCGGGCCCCCAGGGGCGCCCCCCCCCCTACCGCCGCCAGGTGCCGAGGCGGCAAGCGGGGCTGGCGCGGCTCCCCGGCCAAGGACCCCTGAAGGTCCCGCCGTCGGCCCGGCCCTCCCTGGCGGGGCGGCATTCGCCGGGGCGGCCCCTCCGTCCTTGGCCGTCCGGCGCTTCCCGCTCCAGCGTCCTTGGCCGCGGGCGGGGGGGCGCCCTCCCCCCCGCGTGACCGCGGGGGCTCTGGGGAAGGAGGGGCTTCGCGGTGGGGAGGTCCGAGGGGGGATAAGGGCGGCCGCGGAGTAGGCGGGGGCCGCGTGGGGGATGCCCGGGGCCCGCAGCGCGGTGGAGCTCGCCCGTCCAGCCCCTTCAGTCCCTCCCGCAGGGCTCCTCGGAAGCGCCAGCCGGGCTGATCAAGAGGAGTTTCTCGGCCGCCGGCCATTCCTCCTCCCCCCTCCCTCCGTCTCTCGCTGGCGGTCTTGTGGGTCGGTGCAGCTTCCCCCCCCCCCGCCCGGCGGTGCTGCTGCTGGGACCGGCCTTGCCCCGGGGGCGCTGGGGGGCCGCGTGCTGGGGGGGCGAGCCGGATCCCATCAGCCGGTCCGCCAAGGGCGCGGGGGGGGGGCGGCCGGGGCAGCGTCCTTTAAGCGAGCCCATGGCCTCGTCCTGGGACCCGGCGAAGAAGGTAGCTCGGCTGCGGATCTCTGGATCGCTCCCGGCGGTGTCCGGTTGCCCCTCTGGCAGCGAAGCCGCCTGACTGCCTTTCTTCTGCTCTCTTGCAGCCGCATCGTTTTGCCTGTGTCGGTGGAGGAGGTAAGACTTTCTCGCCTCCCGCTTCTTTTGCTTGCTTTTATTTTACTTATTAAACAAATTTATATGGCCACCCAGACACAGAGGACTCCAGTTGAGTTACACTGTTAAAAAAAAAATCTAAAACTACCCCTCCCCCCCAGTCACAACAACACAGCTGGATGGAGCCTTTGATCGTTTTCATTGGGGGGATGCCCTCCTCAGCCCATTGGCAGAAAATCTTCCTCCTGGTCTTCTTTCCATCTTGGCTGAACTTGTGGCTAATGCCAAAGCTCAGGCAAAAGGGAGACCAATCTTTCCCCCCCTCCCCCCACCCTTCCAAGACCATTAGCCAAACTTGGGAGCTGGCTGCTAATGAACCATCCCATCTTCTGCCTTTGTAGGCGAGGAAGGCTCCCTCGGGTATAGTAGGGGAACTACTAGAAGTGGAGAAGGGAGGTTGATGAATTCTTCAAGCAATTCCTAGCAATTTGGGGGTGAAGTCCTGATACACTTGTAGAAAGGGCAGTTCCGTTTGCCTGTGAGCCTTCTTGGGTTCATCTTCCGTTTACCATAATTTGCAGAAATGTGATCGGCTTTCCTGCATGACAACTCTCTGCCCGAGTTTAATTTTTATTTGGGGGTGTTACCGTCACTTTGCAAGAATTGTACAACCTCTTATATTGGTTGTTTTCTTTCTTGAGCTTTCTATATAGTTAGGAACAGGTTTGCAGGAAAGTTTGTGTGATACTTTTTGTATGAAAATTGGCTTCCTGAAAAAGCATTACTGGTCCTTTGTGGGACCTGCTTTTTCTCAAGCACTGATTGTCAAAGAAAGCGGCCAGTAAACTTGAAGAATTCATTGTCACGTGATCTGGGGATAACCTCTCACTGGAATGGCTGTAAAAGGGGATGGAAAATTGCTGAAGGACAGAATCACGCACCCACCTTGAGGAAGTCTTTTTCTTACTGTTATTTTGTTCTCCCCCCCCAAACCCTTTCTCTGATTTTGGCTCTTTAAGCATGTCAGGTATCAAAGCTAGGTGGAATGCAGGGTGATACCAGATAATGCATAACATAGTTAACATAGAAACAAAGGAACTAAATCAACTTTTATGAATAAGTAGCTTTCAAGCAGGCCCACTTCTGTATCCCATCAATACTAGTCCGCCCTGGCCCGGCAGTGGTTCCTAATCGTGCCTCCCTGATGGAGAGACGTTGACTGTCTTTCCACCTGCACTTCTCAAGTCCCCTCTCCGACAATCCAACAACTTTGTGTTGTAACCCTTTGATTGACAGTGCCCTCCCAGTCATCGCCACAGTTGTCAGGTGTCTGGCTGTGTACTGCGGGCTGGAGCGTCAGGCCTCCCAAGGCCAAGGCGACCGCCGTGAGAGGCGCATGTGAGAAACGAAACGCTGGGCCTCGGCCCGAATCCCCTAGGGCTGCGCTTGTGCTCTTGTCTAGCCCTCCCCCTTTGCCCTTCCCCTGTGTTCATGCACTCGCCTAGGATCAAGCTCCCCGCCACGTAAACCTTCCCAGTCTTCTGTAGTGTTGACTGCAGTGTCCATAATCCCTGGCTGCCATTGGAGAAAGTCCAACGGTTCTGGAAGGCCCTGGGTTATCCACTCCCACTGTCCGGGAGTTGTGGACTTTCTCGGTGCACAGGCTGGGGGGGGGGCAGCTACGACTGCGGGCTCTTGGACGCTGCAGGGCCCACGGTTGCCCCAGAGATGACTCCACAGGGTACTGCTGGTGCTGCCTACGCCAGTCGGGGCAAAGCAGCGTTCCCTGTGGCAAAGCAGTTGTGAACAACTGTGGGGGAGAAGCGGGCAGCCCCAACTGCCCTTTAAAGGCCTGGCTAGTAAAAAGGAGTCTGGGGTGCTGCACCCTTGTGGGCTTCCCCTTTGGCCTCATTTCCCCACGGGGAGCCTGGGCTAAGGCGACCCCAGGAGATCTGCCTGAGGAGCAAAGGGGCCGCATGCCCACTCAGGGACCAGCAGCCGGTCCTGTTCAGGCCTAAACTGTACCTCGCAGAGGGAGAGGAGGAGGAGGAGACGCGCTGGGCAGGCGGTTCCCATGGAAACCTCTACTCTTCCTTAAGCCACGATGCCTTCCATGTGGCCTTGGGGCTCTCGCGCAGGGCTGGGGATACCAGGGCTCTGCAAAGGGGGTGCAGAATCCAGCTCAGGCAGAGCTCCCAGCACCCCCAGTGGCATGTTTGCCGTTCCCTGGCCCAAAAATGCAGGATCCCACCCCGCGTGTGCTTTGCTCTCCCCATTAGCACTCCAGAGCCCCCGGGGAGCACACCTCGGATGTGAGCACCAGGTCCCCAGCCTGCTTGCTGGCTCGCTCTGTGTCCAGCCCTCCTGTCTGCGAGCCCCTAACAGCGCTGCGTCTTCCCTCCTCCAGTACCAGGTGGGGCAGCTGTACTCCGTTGCTGAGGCCAGCAAGAATGAAACTGGCGGGGGCGAAGGGGTGGAAGTGCTGGTGAACGAGCCCTACGAGCGAGACGGAGAGCGGGGGCAATACACCCACAAGATATACCACTTGCAGAGGTAGGTGGCGTGGGAGGATGCCCCCCCAGGGAAAGGCCTGTGTGTATGCATGTGTGTGTTTGTGTACAAAAAGAGCCAAATCCAAAAAAAGCTGGGAGATTCCTGGATGCTTGGCGTTCACACAAATCAGCCATCAATACTTACCAAGGGATAAACCACATTTACCAGACATTCAAAAGAGAAAATAAAAAATCCGAGGAGGAACTAAGAAGGCCATCCCCTCCAGCAGCCAGCATTCAGATAAGCAAGGATCCACACCAGACAAGGCAAAAAGGAGTCACCAAGGAGGAAATCAACCCATCTCAAAAACCCCCCCCCCAAAAAACCCCAGCTGAGCAAGCACAGGCATCAGATCTCCCCTCTCCCCCCACCCGTTCCGCATCGGTGACGTTCCCTGGTTGGGTAATGAAACGTTTGTAAGGGAACCACCCAGAGCCCCAAGGCTTCCGCAGGACCACCCTGAGCTACGGAGACTCTCCCATTGTTCTGAGGGACCCCCAGGCTTTCCCTCTGCGGCGAGCAAGCCTCTGAAGCAGTGACCCCTGGTCCTGCCCACCTCCACTGCTGGGGGTTAGGTGGCTGGGGCACGCCCTTCCGTCCCTAGGAATCCCTTTTGGCCCAATGACATCGGGGGAAGGCACCCGTGTGCCTGCCTGTCAGGGAGGAGCTGGCATTGCCCTGGGCCAGTCTGGGGGGGGAAACCTGGCTTAGTCTTGAACCCTGAACCACCAGAGTCGCTGGCAGCAGAAAGAAGAGCAGGCAGAACCCATTGGCTGGACGTTCTGCTGGGACACATCGGTGCCCTCTGTGTGGGAGGGGCCTCTGACCTCTTCCCTCCTTCGTCCTGCAGCAAAGTCCCTCCCTTCGTACGGATGCTGGCCCCTGAGGGTGCCCTGGACATTCACGAGAAGGCCTGGAACGCCTACCCTTTCTGCCGGACCGGTGAGTTCTGCCAGGGCAGCAGCCTCTGCCTTCCCCTTGCTGGGCTTTGGTGGCTTTCCTAGGGGCTCGGTGATGCCAGGCCCCCTTTCCTCTGGCGGTGGGGGGGGCTGGGGTTAGGAAAGTGTCCCACGCGGGTCTGCTCTCGGCAGCTACGCAGTGCCCTGAGCTGCTTCAGAGAAGCTCCAAGGCTGAGGCTCAGCCACTCTTTGGCCCCCTCGGGGAGAGAGGAGGGTACTATTTCAGGGGGCAGCCTGGCCAGGAGCGGCAGCCGGCCTGTGTCCTCCTGGGCAGCCCAGAAGCAGCTTCTGGGCCTGGGCCCGGCTGCCCTGCAGGAGCCCCTCAGCTCAGTCCGTCTGCGCTGGTGGTGGGCCCACTGCCCAGAGATCCTTCCCTGCACAGCTCACCTGCCGTTGGGGCTACGCTCTGCGCCTGCCCTCGCCCTTCCTCCGCCACGCTGGCTGGCTGGCTTGGGCTGTTGGAGGCCCTGCAGTCTGGACAGCGGGAGCCGGGTCTTTGGGAGGAGCCAGGGGCCACGTTCCATCGGGAGCCCCTGCAGGGGACGGAGGCCGGGTCCCGGGCTGGGCGGACAGTGGATCTGCCTGGAAGCTGCTGCTCGCTGGTCTTTTGGCCTCCATCCCTGCTTTATAGGGTGTCCTGGGCCTTTGAGATGCCCAAGCTGCCTGCACCCCCTGGGAGGCAGGGTCCCTACGTGGCTGCGGTGTCTGAGCCCTGAGTGAGAGGCCTGCCTTGCTGCCATTGCTACTACGGAGTTCCCTCCTGCGAAAAGGGGGGTGGGGGGCAGCAGCCAGTTACAGAAGCTGCCACCCTCCCCTCATTAATCATGAAGCCTGCAAGGGGGCATCCAGTTACTGCTCAGCGTGGCCCTGGGTTGTGTTACTTGGATTGTGTTACCTGGGTTGTGTTACCCACTGGTTAGGAATGAAGGAGGGACAGGGCTGTGGGGGGGGGTCAGGCTTTTCCCCTAGCGGGGGCTGCTTACCTGCCAGAGAGAAGAGCTCTGCTGATGTTGGCCATTTTCTGAAGGGGGGTGAATGAATCCAAACCCGACAGGTGGCCGTGGGGCTGGGCTCCCCGGTGGCCTGCTCTGCCGGTGAAGCCAGGCAGCACCAGAGCATGGCAGAAGGACAGAGATGTTCCTGGGGTGGAGGGGGGCATTGGATAGCGCACTGCCAACTGGGTGGGTGGGACCTCAGTTGTGCCTGCCATTTGTGGGGCTGGTGGAGGTGACCTTAAAATAGGCATCCTTGTGCGAGGTGCTCCCTGGCAGCCCCCCCACCCCATGGGGTGCTCAAGCTGGGTGGGGGGACGTGGCAGAGCTCCCTGCTGCAAGAGGACGAGGCGGGGGCTCTGGGCAGCCTGGGCCCTTCCCGCTGTGAAGGCATCTCCTCCCCCCCCTCCCCGGCCCTGGGAGCCGGCCCTGATCAGTGTTGCTGTTGGGGGGGGGCAGGCCGGGAGCAGTGGCTGCATCCCTGATTAAAGCTCTGTCTTTCTTTCCATGTCTCGGGTTTTGGAGCAGTTATAACAGTAAGTAGAGCTTCCAGCCCCTGTTGGGTAAGTGGCTGGACTGCCAGGGACGTGCTGGCCTCAGGCGCATGGCCGGCAGTGCTGGGTCATTGTCATGGTCTGGGTAAGGCAGGGGCTCCCTTTTGGGTCTGGGGGGCCCAGAACCGAGGTCCGGAGAGCTTTCACAAAATCTACTTATCGATCAGTCGGGCCATCTCACTCCTTAAGGTGACTCTTGGCGGCTTGGAGACCTCTAAGGTACTCTGGGGCGATGGGCAGCTCCCGAGGAAGCTCCTTTGGATCCCCTCGGAAGGCTTGTGAGGCAAGAAGGGGAAGAGTGCCAGTTTTTTTTATTATTATTATTCATCCTAATTTCCTTCCATGGATTTTCCTGTGCCTGTTCCTCGCGTTCCTCCAGGCTCTTGGGCCCTCTAGAGCCTGCCAGCCCTCTGCCGGCCGTGTCTTCCCATCTCCGGAGCCCCTAATTGGGCTCCCCTCCCCCGGGTGGGCCTGCCTGGCAGCCCTGCTCTAGCTGGTTCTTTGCTGGGGGGGGGGAGAGAGCAAGGCTTCTGCAGCCCGGATCTGGTGCCCTGTTCCTGCTCTTCAGCCGCAGAGGTGCTCCCGAAGGGAGGGACGTCGAGAGAGCCAGGGCAGTTGCGGGTCCGACGGTGGTTGCAGGCTTTGTATCTGCTTCCCAGCTGAGGGAACGTTCTCCTCTTCTCGGCAGAACGAGTACATGAAGGATGATTTTCTGATCAAAATTGAAACCTGGCACAAAGCAGATATGGGCATGCAGGAGAATGTAAGTGTGCTGGGCAGGGAGGTGGGGGAGAAATCTATCTTTTGGTTGCTGTTGCACTGGGGACCCCCCCCCCCGCGGCTCTTCTGGCAGGAACGGGAGGTGGAGGAGTGGGGCAGGTGGTCCATTGCCATATTCCCCCCCACCCCCAGGCTCATGAGTTCAGAGTGCTGATGGGTTTTCAGTGCCATTCAGCCAAGTCCTTCCCCCTCCCCCCCCATCCCCGGCCTGCCCTCTGCAGGGAGGAAGGGGGCCCCACGACATCCAGCTGCCCTTTCTAAACAGTTGACTCCACCAGTTTCAATAGCAGATTGTTCTTGCATGTTTTCCTTGAGCAATTCTTTTGCAACTGCACCCCCTGCCCCCACCCCCAAATAAATGCACTTTCAGGGATGTTCTGAAAAAGCTGCAGCGGAGGAGAGCCTGAGAGCTAGACTGAAACCTGCCCCTCCTTGTTCCTGCAGGTCCATAAACTAGATCCTGAGGAGTGGAAGAACGTGGAGGCTGTTTCCATAGACATTGCGGACCGGAGCCATGTGCTTTCCAGGGTAGGGCAGCGGGGGGGGGGGGGGGAGGGCTGGACCCGGGTGGGGTGGGGGATGGTCACCTGCCTGGCTGGAGTCTCTGACGTGTCCTGGGAGGCCACTCGCCGGCAGTGGCAGGACTGGAGTTCAGAAGGGCATCTCTTCTGAAGGGGGGGGGGAGAGGGGTACCTTCGGTGGAGCTAAAGGGGGGGGGGGATTGGAAGGCCTCTGTCCCAGTTCACATGGCTTTACTGGCATGGAACCCGCAGCCCCACCAGGTTGGAGGGCAGAGAGCAGCAGAGGCAGGGAGGGAGGGGGAGAAGGCCCACCAGGGAAGGAGGGTGGGGAGCCATCCCTCCTGAGAGGTTCCTCAGAACCTGGAACGATGGGATGGAGGGGAGGGGCTTCTCTTTCCGTAACCTTCCGGTTCCTCTCTTGTCCAACACAGGACTACAAGCCAGATGAAGACCCAGCAAAATTTAAATCGGTCAAGACTGGCCGTGGCCCTCTGGGCCCCAACTGGAAGGTAGGGAGCCTCCCTTGCTTGCTGGGGCAGAGCGTGCCGGGCACTGAGCAGGGCTAAGCCGGAGGGGAGTCGGCCAAGGGGGTCCCCCGGGACCTGCCTCGGACCAAGGTTGCCCTCCAGGCAGCTGGGGTCCTGTTGGCCCAGGGCAGCCCAGGCAGATCTGGGGCTCTGGGGAGGAGGGCGGCCGCCCTGACTGGGGCGACTCCGCCTGAACGGCCGGTGGCCTCTGGTCTTTTCAGAAAGAGCTGGGCAAGCAGGCCGAATGCCCGTACATGTGTGCTTACAAGCTGGTCACGGTCAAATTCAAGTGGTGGGGTCTGCAAAACAAAATTGAAAACTTTATCCAGAAGGTGAGCAGAGTTTGCGGCAGGAGCTACCGGCAGTTCTCCGGTGGCGCTTGCCGCGTGAGGCCGCTCGGAGGCGTCACTTCCTGCCCTTCGGGAGGGCGAAGCGGTTTCTGGGATCAGGCGGCGAGCACGGCATCCCTTGCCATGTCTGCCTGTGGAGGGACTTCCAGCCAGACTTTTCAGCCTTGTTTTGTTTTCTTGCAGCAAGAGAGGCGGCTTTTTACGAATTTCCACCGGCAGCTGTTCTGCTGGCTTGATAAATGGGTTGACCTGACCATGGAGGACATTCGCCGGATGGAGGACGAGACGAAGAGGCAGCTGGACGAGGTGAGTGCTTCAGGGAACACACCACCAGCCACCGCCTCCCCCGGGATGGGCCAGCAGGCTTCCCTCCTGGCCCGGTTTTTCCTCTGTCTTGCTCACCTTCCCAAGGGCTGGAGGTGAACAGCCCTTTCTCTGCCACAGATGAGAGAGAGAGACCCTCTGAAAGGCATGTCAGCTGCAGACGACTAGCCTGGATTCCTTCAGCACACAGTAGGTGGCCAGGGGTGCCCCACACCCTCCCCCAGGCTAGGAAAGGGGAGCTGCACAGGGTGGGGGTGGGCTAACAGTCCTGTCTCCGTGGAATCAGACCCAGGATTTTGAAAAGCAATTTTCCAAGGACGCCGGATGGAGGAGAGGCCGTAGGGCTCAGCGGGGGGCTGGCAAGGCTGCTGCCACCCTCAGGTCAGCGCCAGGCAGAGTCCAAGACATTTGAAGCACCAGCAGCAGCTTGGCGGTGCCACTCGGCCGGCCGTCCAGCCCCTGGTCCACTCAGGTTCCTTCTCTCTCCCTCCAGTTTGTGAGTGGGTCTCCGGGAAGGCCCAGGAACTCCACCCTCTTGACCAACGGACCATCTCTGGACATTCAAGCCCTCCTTCTCCAGTCGGCCGGCAACTTCTGCCCCCCTCGCTAATTCTAGTTGCCCTTCATCTAGTGAGCAAATCCTTTGGTCCTGAGCGCCCAGGCCGTGGTGCCCAGGGAAGAGGCGGCCCTTCAGGACAGCTGCTTCTGCGACCACCCCCTTCCCCCAGGGAGGTGCATACACCAGTTCTCATGGGACTGTTTGATTTCCAAGTGGCAGGTTTTGTTGAAGTTGTCTCGTGATGTGGTGATTTGGAGTTCCTTGGTCCCTGCCTCAGTTTCCCCTCTTCCGAGCCCTGGGATGGTGGTCCCCTTGTGGAGACGGGAGCTCTCAGTCTTGAGCGCCACAAAGGCCGGGATCTGGAAGCCTTTTTTCTCTGTAAAGAATATTCTTGTCTTGGGTGCATCTCTGGTCTCCCTCGCACAGGCGTGGCTGCTGGCAGACGGTTGCCCCGATCAGCTTGTGGTCTCTGCTCCTTGCCCCACTCCTCGCCTGAGGCCGCTGCTGCTGCTGCTTTGGGGATGTGTGTCCTGGAGCCCAGCAACAATAGCTGAAGCCCTCTCCACTCTGAGAGTGGGGAGGGTCTCACTCCTCTTTTCCAGGACTGCCTGAATTGGGGCTTGTGGAGGTGGTCCCCAAGCCCAGCCCTGGGGCTGGACTCCCCTTCAGACAATCCCACGAGCAAGGGGGAGCGAACGGCCAGCCCAGTGGGGATTCTCTCCCTGCCTCCCCTTCCACAGCTAGGCCTGGGGGAAGGCTAGAGTGGGCTTTGGGGAGCAGAGAGGCCACCCTCCAGCTCTCCCCCATTCCCTGCCAGCCGATTCCTTTTTTGCCTTTACGTGCAATAAGCAAGCCTGTTCTGCTGTGGCCGAAGGTGGCCTTCCTCGGCAGGAGGGCCTTCGTGGCGAGCCGAAAGGGCTTTTCTGGGCACAGGAGGTAGGACTAAAGTGGGGACGGAATGTCCCTGGCCAGCCAGGCCGAGTCCTTTGGGATCCGGCTGTGTCCCAGTAGTCCTCCCTCTGAGACACGCGGGTGCTGCGTAATCCTCTCTCCTCCAAAAGGCAGAACTACAACATAGAGAATTATTGTGTGGCTAAGAGGATCTGCTCAGACACGTTACTGTTCCCACTCCTGCTTAAAAGATTTGGGTTTAACTCGGAGGCTTTCTCTGGGAACAGATGGTGACATTTTGAGGATGGGGGAGAGAATTAAAATGACTCTGGTAGAAGGCAAGAATTCTTATTAAAACATTAACTTCCTTACTTAGCAGCAAGAACAAGGCAAGTACAGACACCCCTCCCTGCGTGTCCTGCATTGGAGTTGACCCAGTGCGCCCCTCCCCACCTGCAGCTGAGGCTCCCGCAGAGCCCCGTTCCCCATGGGCAGTGATGGCTGCCCCCATCACCCCCACCCTTGTTTCCTGCCGAGGAGAGCAGGTGGCGATGGAGGCCAATGCAGCCGAAGCTGCTTCAGTGCGTTGTGCCTGGCTTCGTGCTCCAGAATCCCCGACCTTGGAAGGGGCTCCTGATGCGGGCTACGGGCCGAGTGCGGAGACGCAAAGAGCAGGTCCCGCTGGCTGCGTTGTGATGGCTGAAGCTCCGGCGGGTAAACACACCCTCCCCATTTTAGCATGCTCTTGTTTTCCTCAATTTCTTTTCTGCCGAACCTGCAAGGACTCCCTGACCGGTCCAGTTGGGTTCCTCGTGCTATTCGTTTCTACGACATCCGCTCTGTAGGATAGGTTAGATGATCTCCATTGTTTCTTTACTGTGAGTTGTGCCTTTTTTTTTTTTTTTGGTCTCCCAATCTTCCAATACAGGCCTATTGGAAATAACTCTTAATAAAATCATAGACAGAAGAGCACCCTGACTGAGCTTTTATTCCGAGTGATACTTGGGGAAATCTGGGAAATGGAAAATTCAATCTGCTCCTTACCCTTTTAGCTACCTTTCTTATATTAATTTCCATTAATCAATTACAATGACAGCTGGGAAGTCATATAGGTAGTCCTCAGTTAATGATCTTAATTGTGGCAATTCTGCCACTAAGTGAAGCAGTTGCAAAATGGGAAATCAGGTGACTGCCACTGAGTTTTTCTGCTGGAAGGAGACAAGACTAGTAAACTTCACAACTTTGGATTGCCTCCTAGCTATTCCCCTCCTTTGGGGAGTGCCGGCTTACTGGCTTGCTCATGCTGAAAGCCACACCTTGAGGGATCAGTGGGAATGCTACACACACAGCTTGCTCTCTTAAAATCCCTTCCTCTCCATTCTGTTTTACAGAACAGGGAGCAAGTAATTTCTATAGGCAATCTCCTTGCCTGACCCTTCCCTCTCCACTGCAGAACAGAGGAATTGGAGAGATTTTAAGAGAGGTTTATTAATCTACACATCAGAATAGAGTTGGAAGGGACCTCGAATGTCTTCTAGCCCAGAGGTCCCCAACCTTTCGGGCACCAGGGACTGGTTCTGTGGAGAGAGGTTTTTCCGCGGACCAGAGGGTGTGTGGGTTTGTGGGCTGCTTGCATCTCACGTAGGGGGCTTTGCTTGTTTGTGCGGACCGGTTGCTGGCATATGGCATCCTGGTACTGGTCCACGGACTGGGGGCTGGGGACCCCTGTTCTAGCCCATCCCCTGGTCAAGCAAGAGACCCTATACCATTTCAGACAAATGCCTGTCCAATCTCTTCTTAAAAGCCTCCAGTGATCAACTTCTGGAGGCAAGGAGTTCCACTGGTTAATTGTTCTAACTGTCAGGAGGTTTCTCCTTCCTAGGTTGCTTCTCTCCTTGATTAGTTTCCATCCGTTGCTTCCTGCCCTGCCTTCTGGTGTTTTGGAGAATAGGTTGACCCACCTCTTCTTTGTGGCAGCCCCTCAAATATTGGAAGACTTGCTATCATGTCACCCCTAGTCCTCCTCGTTAAACTAGGCATACCCAATTTGTGCCACTGCTCTTCATGGTGTTTTAGCCTCCAGTCCCCTGATCATCTTTGTTGCTCTTTGCACTCTTAAGCCTCGGTCATCTTTTGTTATGTTGTGGTGACCAAAACTGGATTCAGTGCACCAGTCACACCAGCAGTGGGAATAAATCGGGCAAAGAAGATAAGTTCTCCCTCTCCCTCCTCCCAACAGAGCAGAAAGACTGAAGCCAAAGATTTCAAATGTACCGTATGCCCGCTTGCATGGTGCACCCATGGCTCCCCAACCTTTCTGGCACAAGGGACCGGTTTTGGAAGAAAAAAATGTCTTCCACGGGGGGGGGAGGCGGGGGCGACTCAGATCCCGCACATGCACGGATGAAGCTTTGCCCGCCGCTTGCACGGCCCGGTTCTTAACAGGCCGCGGACCGGTAGCAGTCGGCAACCTGGGTGCCCCTACCCGCCTTGCAGCCTGTTCCTCTGCAAGGCCCGGGACGGACGGCCCTGGCTATATAATGACTGTCGTGTGACGGAGAGGCAGCTGCAACAGGTCACTGGATGAGCGGTCGGTAAGCGAGGACCGCCTGTGCGGGGGTTGGCGCTGCCGCCGCACTCGGCTCACGAGGGCCGCGGGGCTCCCCGGCAGGTGGCGGGAGGCCGGATCCGAAATGGTACAGGGGCTCCTGCTTGAGCGGGGGGCTTGACCAGAAGACCTCCAGGGTCCCCTCCAGCTCCGTTCTGATTCCTGACCGAGCCGCCGAGTGGGAGACGGGACGCCGAAGGGCGGAGGAGCCGCGGGGGGGCACACGTAGCCCCCCGCCGCGCCCCGGCTTTGCTCCGGGCGTGCCTGTCCGGTCCCCCGGCCTCTTCCCCGCCCGAGAGGCCACCGGGAGGAGGGCGGGGCCTCCGAAGGCAAAAGCGGCGGCCCAACCGGCCTCCCAGGGCCGCCACCGCCCCCCGGGTCGCCATGCGCAGGCGCCAAGCGCCCCCGGGAGGGCGGGGCGGGGCTGCCGTACGGTGCGCCTGCGCCGCGTCAGCCAATGAGCGTGCGTGACGTCGCGCGCGGGGCGAGGAGGCGGGCCGCTGCTGGCCGCCGCTGTCATCCTGCTTCCCTCCCTCGGCGGCGATAGAGGCGGCGGTGATGGAGGCGGAGGCGACGCTGCGGCTCCGGTGAGGAGGCTGCTTCTCCCCCCCCCCGCCCTCCCGCTCGATCGCCTGCCGCCCTTCCCCCGGCGGCCGGGCTACTGACCGGTCTGTCTCCGCAGGCTGCACCTGGTCACCTGGAACGTGGGCGCCGCGCAGCCCCCCGGCGAGGTGGCTGTCCTGCTTCGCCTCGGCGCCGCGGAGTCGCCCGTGGACCTCTACGCCATCGGGTGGGTGTCCCGCGGTTCCCTGGCGCCTCCTCCCAGCCCCGCAGCCCCGGGGAAGCAGCGGCGGGGGGGTCCGGGCGGGAGAGGCGCCGCCGCCGCCCGCCGAGGGAGGGAGGGAGGCCGCCCGCCGGTGCTTCGGGTGTCGCCTAGCCCGGGTGCGTCACCGGCGCCTCCGCCGCTGCTCAGCTTGCAGGAGGTGAACTCCCAGATCCTGAGCTTCCTCTCCGACCTGGCCTTCGAGGAGCCCTGGACGGCCTCCCTGACGGCCGCGCTCGCCCCGTTGGGCCACGTCCGGGTAAGCGAGGCCGCCGCGGGGCTCTTCCCGGGCGCCCCTCGGCCCCAGGAGAAAGGGAACCTCCGGGGGGGGAAGCTCGGGGGGGGGCGGGCGTGGGCCGCGCGCTCTCTCCGCAAGGTTGCCGGAACGGGAAGAGCTTCGGGGGGGGGCGCCCCCGGGTGGTTGCTTGGCCGAGGCCGGTGCCCGCCGAGTCGCTTCGGCATTTCGACCGGAGAAGGCCTGGTCCGAAATGCTCCCGGGGGTCTCGCCCCACCTGGGGTGCTTGAGTGAACAGCCCCCTCCTGCCGAGGGGGGGCTGAGGGGCCCTCTGTGTGCCAGCAGATGCGCTGCTCTGCGGCTCCGGTGCAGATCTTGGGCAGGGGGTCCTGGGGTCCTTTTACCACAAGGCCAGAGGGGACCAGCTTATCCCCCCCCTCCGAATAGGGTCAGCTTTGGCACTGGGTGGAAACACTGCCTCCGTGGCTCAAGGCGGCTTCTCCTCCCCGCGCAGGTGTCTTCCATCCGCATGCAGGGCATCCTCCTCCTCCTCTTTGCCAGGCAAGCCCACCTGCCCTTCATCCAGGGTGTGCGGAGTCAGTTTACCCGCACCGGCCTGCACGGCTACTGGGTGAGCTGCTTCACAGGGACCTTCCCAGGCCTCCGGTCGGTTAAAGCTGCAGGTACAGTGGATGCAGGAGAAGCAGGGAGGCCAAATTCTGCTGTGGCCAAGCTTCCACGCACGCATGCACGCACGCCTTTGTTTTTTGCCTGAATGTTTTTTAAACGTTTCCATCTTTCTAATGGAGGCAGGCAAAATGGCAAATATCGCACTGTGATAAGAACTAATATGCAATAACCAGCATTTAATTTGTAATGCTAATTGCAAAAGGAAAACCTGCAAAACCGGCTAATGAAGGACTCACTGAAAGTTTTCAAGCCCCAGTAAAATCTCTAGCGATGGAGATCCTCAGGTAGGGAATTTCACATCTTTGTTTTACTTATCAAAAATACATGTTTCCTGCTTTAAGGCAAGTCGTACCGACAGCAACGCCGTGAAATTTAAAAGCAGAAGCTTCTGAAATTCACTGAAGCAGGCGTTCAGAGAGCAGGCCATCCTTGCCCCTGCCGCGCAGCCAGTGGAAGCCCTGACTTCCCGGCGGCCCTCAGCTGTCGGGGAGCATCTCCTGCTGGAGAACCCCCTGAACGGGCCCGGCACCCAACCTGACACAATTCTTGGCCTCAGGGCGACTGTCAGGAAAGGGATGAAGAAACACTACAGCAATCTAGGGATGCCTCTATGCTCCTAATGTACAGGTAGTTCTCCACTTACGACTACAGTGAAGCCCAAAAACTTCCATTGCTAAGCAAGGCATTTGTTAGGTGAATGGTGCCCGACTGTGGTTGTTAAGCAAGTGGCTGCCATTGTAATTATGGGGCCCTTAAGCGAATCTGGCTTCCCCGCTGCCTTTGCTTGCCAGAAGCTCCCTGGGAAGAAGGCTGCAGATTCTGGGCCCTGGGATGCCGCAACCACCGTGGGCGCATGCCGGTTGCCAAGTGCCCAAAGTTGGCTCATGTGGCCGTGGAGATGCAGCAAGGATCACAAGTGTGAGAACTGCTGATAAGTCACTTTTTTAATGCTGTGTAAGTTTGAAGGTCATTAAATGAATGGCTGTAAGCGGAGGACTACCTGTATTCATTTCTCTCTGAGTTTGTCCATCCTGGAGACAGGGCTTCATCCCGGCAGAGCGTCAGAAAACGTGCCCCTCCTGCGCCTCACACACCGCCCAGGAGTGGGGAGGCAACCACCATCTCTTGTCTCCCAGGGCAACAAGGGCGGGGTCTCCATCCGCCTGTCTCTCTACGGCCACTCGGTTTGCTTCCTGAACTGCCACCTGCCGGCCCACCTGGAGAACGCCAAGCAGCGCCTGGACGACTTCGAGCACATCTTGGAAATGCAGCACTTCGAAGAGAAGACGTTCCCCTCGGCCCTGGACCACGAGTGAGTGGCCTCCCCCTGCAGGACCCTGCCGCCCGGCCCAGCGAGGCCAGGAGTCCGGCAGGCCAGGCCCTCCACCTCCCCAACTGCTCTTCTCGCGAGTGGCACTCCCCCCCCCACGCCCCCTTGTCTCATGGGGGAAGCACCAAGGAACAGCAAAGGTGGCCAGGGGGGAGGGGAGGGAGAGAGGGTGGGGCTGGCACAGAAAAAGCAGGAGAGGAGTGGGCGAGGGCTAGAAAGGGGAGGGGCTGGCTATCCAGGTGTTTCCAGGAGGTTCAGAAAGGGTGAACCATCCCCACTTCTGCCT